TGACTTTCGACGGTTACTGAAGACCCCATGATGACGATTTCGTTGATTTTGGCGCGGGTTAAGCAGCTACAAAGTCGTTATGTGGCAAAATTTGTTTTTGTTTGGGTTGATAGGTATACGTCAGAGTTGGTTATTGACCAGTATGACCTTCCTTCAATTAAGTTAAATTACTTATTTAATTACTACGTACTTTCTAATAGATTATTACAACGAAGATATTACCTATACATTAGATAGTCTTTATAATAAAGTGCAATTTACTGAAAAAATGTAATTTTAATTATACAGGGTGTCCCAGAAATAAGTGCAAATATTTTAAGGGGTGGTAGATCTCGATAAAAGAAACATATTTTCTCTTTATCGTTTTTATAAATAAGTTTTTATAATAATCGTTTTTCAAATAAGTCCAAAATAACGGAGTTATTTTACTTTGAAAATTTTGAGAACCACTAGATCTTTTCTCGATTTTCTTTCTTGTAAATTTAATCTAATACCTATGTTGCCATATTATCAAGAAATTATGTTTTTTAACTAAAAACTAAAAAATTTTTTTTTTAATTAAACCATTTAAATTAAACAAGTTATTACCGTTTAAAGCTAGAAATAATTTAAAATAAATTTTTAGACACTCTGTATGAGATAGTATTATTTTTATTAATGGAACAAAATATCTGATCAATAAATAGACTTCAGTAAATATTTAGTATTAAAAACTTTGTTACCCTTGGAGAAATGAAGCCTTAAAATTTTGACTGCAATATCACAAAATTGAAAATATTTCATAAACGGTAATGTTTAAGTGTGATAAACCCTAATCAAATTTACCTTTATTTTAATCGTAGAAACTAAAAATGTAATAATATACAGGGTGTTCCGTTTAAAAAATACAACTTTGATATTTTTTATTTATTTGGGACACTCTGAATCTTGCTCTAATAGTCCTTCAACGAACCCAAAACTTACAATTTGTAAAAATCTAATCATTTAGCTACAATACTCCGTGTCGTATGTGGTGAACAACCCTGTATAGAAGAAAAACACAAAAATAGATAGAGAATAATTCCACGTCCGTAAAAAGTCTGTGCCAAAAACAACAAGCCAATAGAATAAATTTCGACAGTATAAGACTCACCCCATGGTATATATTATATAAGCAGCCAACAACCCCTAGGGCAAATGTGCACTGTAAACATCCCACTAAAGCACATGTTTTGGATCGATACAAAATATAGAATCTCAACCAACCCCTAGTCTGATCATAATATATCCGTCTTACTTTGTTTCAGCTTGCTGAAGAAGGGTAGAACATAATCTTATATAGTCTTGGATTATGAATTGAAAAGAAAGCTTCTTAAGTTTATTTTTAGTCAAAATATGAGACATATATAATTTAATTAAAAAATAAATAAATCAAGACAGATTTTATAAATGAGGGATAAAAATAAATAATTTTCATGAAAAAAATCGATATTTGCGATTGCTTCCTTCAAAAAATAAGCGCCATGCGCAGACTAATGTTCTTTTAAAATTATTGTCATAATTATTTAAATAAATCTTTGAATAAGAAGACTAAGGAAGGAGCATAATGCTATCCATGTATTCATGCATGGTGGGCGGAAAAGCCACCATAAAAGCTCTCTAGGGTGGGGATCCTTGACAGTTCTGTTTGACGATTCATTTGACACATTTGAATTTGATTTGAAATTTTGTGGATTTGTCAGTCTTTACGGAGCTTATTTTATGTTATTTATTATTTATTCTACTACTGATAGTTGTATAAAGGTAGTAAATCTAGATGGAAATTGTGGCAGAACTTAAATTAACAGTGACACTATCGCGATTTATCGAAAAAGACTCTAAAATAGTTGATTGTGTAGCGTGCGGTAGATCTCGGCAAAAATTGAGTGAAATAATGGAACAACTTTTCGCTAGTAAGTGACTATATAATATACATACGTGTAGTAAACCGATCATTTATGAAATTCACTTAAATTAACTAAATTAGATATTTTTCTTGCATTTTAGCTTTTATTTATTACTTGTCAAAAATTATATGTCAAAGAATTTAGATACGTTAATTTGACTTACCTGCTTCAGTAGCGTATCGGATGTTTGTGTTAATAAATACTTATTATAACTTATCGATTTTTATTAGAATTATATATTTTTATAACAATTTTAATAACTACCAACATTTATTCACAACGTAAAATAAAACAACAAATTATTGAGTCTACCCCACGTCTACCCTACATCATAGTTTTACATTTTTTAAATAAAATTAGAACGACACTGATAAACCGGAATTTAAGTCGGCCATATTTGAGGCCCATCGCGGTGTACCTAAGATTTTTGATATGCTCCTTCCTTAGTCTTCTTATTCAAAGAAATAAATAAATGAAGTCAGGTTAGGTGTACTATTTTATAACTCAAGAACGGCTAGATTTAAAAAACTAGCATATTCAAATAAAAGGATATTGAAATATACAGAATGAGCCTTAAATAAGTGCAAATATTTTAGGGTAGTATACCGGCTGCGTCGCAAAAGTATGGCTCGCCCCCTTTAACTTTTTTATTTTTTCAGATACCAAAACGAGATTTGATATGTTAGTATATGACATAAATTAGGATTGATTGACGTATTCAATTGTTTTCTGTCACTTTCTGTTTCGCCGGAAATTACTACAACTTTTGATTTTTAAATGGCACCCTCGGTATGTTTTTAGTTTATTCGATAGAAAATGACATTCTGAATAGAATGACATATCATATGTCAACTTTGACATTTTCTAATATGATTTATTTTAAATTGCCACATGCGATTCATAACGACAATTTGAATAGAAATACCAAGTGTGTGGTACCAAATTATTCGTAAAAAATGCTTTTTCCAAATATGCTAATGAGCCACCCTCGTTCCATTTGAAAAATTCAGATATGATTAAAAATACGATTTCGGCATTTTTTAACTAGCTAGGACAAAACACGAATAACATTAGACGATCAAATCTATTTTCCCAAAGCTCCTTGACTAAAAATTAGTGTTTTTAACATGGTCATGTCACTCTAGATTAAAATTTAAAATTCAATTTTGTTTTAAGCAAAAATGTCAAAAGTTGACATATGATATGTCATTCTATTCAGAATGTCATTTTCTATCGAATAAAGTCGAGAATAAAGTAAACAAATACCAAGGGTGCCATTTAAAAATCAAAAGTGGTAGTCATTTCCGGCGAAACAGGAAATGACAGAAAACAATTGAATACGTCAATCAATCCTAATTTATGTCATATACTAACATACCAAATCTCCCTTTGGTATCTGAAAAAATAAAAAAGTTACAGGGGTGAGCCACTTTTGAGACGCACCCGGTATACATATTTCAAACCCAGAAACACGTATTTAAAGGCTGTTTTCGCAAAAACAAAATTTAAAAATTTGGATTTTTTTGTAAATATTTTTGTTTAAAAAACATAATTTTTTGATAATACGGCAACATAGAGGGTAGATTAAATTTACAAGAAAGAACATTCAGAAAAGATCCAGTGGTTCCCAAAATTCAAGCAAAGAATATTTTTTTAAATTTTCAAAGTACTCACCCTGTATAGAAAGCATTTGCATCGAAATGTAAACAAAAATTCCAGATCATTCGATCAATCAGACATCCGTACTCAAACACTGACAAAAGAACACTAATTTCACTTCACTATTAACCCCATACTCACTATACGCTGATGCGGTTCGTTAATGCTTCGATTTGATGCGCCAATGCGTCGATGCGATAGGTTGTGCGACGGTTCGGCGGAATGTATATTTTTGCTACCAAAAATACCTAGTGCACAAATTTTCCGATGAACTAACGAACATAAGGAATCTCTCAAATAATAATGGTGTTTAGTGGAAAATAAGTATTATTCCAAAGCAACAACTGAGGCCCGATTCTGTAAACATATTTCCTGTCTAGTGACCCATCAATCGAATACAAATAGCATAGGCTGGACAGGAAATTTCTTGCTACGGAGCTTACAGAACCCCACTGCTGATCACTACAACGGTTTATTAGATACTGAATAACGAATATTTTTCGTACTCTTACGTAACGCAGTTTTTGTAAACTAACTCAGATTAAATTATCCTAATGTTAAGGGAACCTTCGACTATAAGATAATAGATACACAATTCTACAGAACATTTGACACAAATCGCATCGACAAACCGCATCGTACTCGCTATGCGTGTATGGACGCATCAAATCGACGCATCAGCGCATAATGAGTATGGGGCTTTAGGCGGTACGAATTTAGTAATTGATAAAATACTATATTCATAATTAGACAAAAACTATACAGGATCTTTCAAAAAACATGTGCCATCTCTCGTGGGGAAATTTCTCACGTAAAAATAAGATTAATTTTTCATATCAACATAGGTCCGATGTTCTGAGATAGCACATTTTTTTTGGAACACCCTGTAGATTTAAATCACTATAATAAAATAATACTTTTTCAAACAAAGCAATATTAGTTTTTCAAGATCATGAAAAATTGCTTGATAACAAACTGTTGTAATATGTAGCTTGGCGTAAATATTTATCAAACTATCCAGCTGCATCATAATTTTAAGCGACAAATTAAATTCAATTTCAAACCTTTCAAAACATAATTTGGCACCATATCAAACTTTAAATTGACTTTTAACTTTATTTGGCACGAAAACAATCATAGTTCACCGGCATGATTGAATAACGATTTACAAGACCGTACTCTCTTGATTCATAAATAATATAGCCTAAATCCGTCCAAAAAAAATGTAGAATTTTCTAACATTTCCTAGTCTTTTACTCAAATTTAGTAAGAACATAGAGATGGGCACACTTATCGATATATAAAATATCGATATTGAAGTATCGATATTTGTAGCCATCCCTATTATATAAAAAAACGTCCGTGTGCTGTAATATGAAAAGAAAACGTTGTCTGTGTAGTGTATAATAGGCCTACCTTAACCAGATTTTTAAGGACGGGACTGTCCATAAGTCCTCTTAGGAATATTAAGTCAGTCTCATTAATTCCGCTTTTACTGTCTAAGTCTTCGAAGGTCTCTCTAACGTGTTGGAATGCAGCTGAAAATTAACATAAAGATTATTGACATTTCTTTGAATACATGTGTAGACAGACAAACAATAGTTTTTAGTATTCCTAATATTTATAGAAAAATTTCTTCCACCATTTTACTCTCTAAAAGGACGAATTTCTAAAAATTGCTTTATTCTACTGACTAGTTTATTTAAAAAATCTTTGTGCAAATTTTTATTCGTCCAGATTTCAACAATTACTAAGTTTCATACATATACAGGGTGTTTCAAAACAAATGTCAACCATTAGGGAGATATCGCGGTACAAAGATGGCGGAAAAATAATGTTCTTATTTTTTATCTTGAAAACGAAAAGAGATAGACTAATGAAATTTTATGGAAGCATTACTGTTATGAAAACACACTTTCTGGTAATTTTTTCACTTTTTTAAAATGAGTGGAAGGGGTTGAAATAAACTACCCCTATCATTCTTGTTAACGAAATTTAAAGGAAAATCTTATCAAACACATGCAAAAAAACTAATTTGGATAGTTTAGTTTGTTTAGAAACGTTTTTATCTCTTGTATTTTTTTTATAAAACCCACCGATTTGAAATTAAAAAATAAAATGTAAAGCATTACATGTCAGGACTAAAAATATTTTTAGATTAAGAATCTAGTGATGATAATGATAATAATAATAATCTAGATAATAACGTATTGCAGTAGGGTAATGTCAAATAAAACAATATTAATTATCATCCTAAAAAGTGACAGCGGCCGACTAGATTTTTTCCTAAAAAAATTACAGCTGCCCACTAGATTCTTTATCTAAAAATGTTTTTTGTCCTGACATGTAATGCTTTACATTTTATTTTTTAATTTCAAATCGGTGAGTTTTATCAAAAAAACACAAGAGATAAAAAAGTTTCTAAATAAACTAAACTATCAAAATTATTTTTTTTGCATATGTTTGATAAGATTTTTCTTTAAATTTCATTAACAAGAATGATAGGGGTAGTTTATTTCAACCCCTTCCACTCATTTTAAAAAAGTGAAAAAATTACCAGAAAGTGTGTTTTCATAACAGTAATGCTTCCGTAAAATTTCATAAGTCTATCTCTTTTCGTTTTCAAGATAAAAAATAAAAACATTATTTTTCCGCCATCTTTGTATCGCGATATCTCCCTAATGGTTGACTTTTGACCCAACGTTTATACAGCAAACTAGCCTTTATTTTGAACAAGGAATCACCCCCTGAAGTTTTTCGCATTTGTTTTGAAACACCCTCTATATTACACCTTCTTAAGTGATAAATTAGTGATATATTTTTTTAATGACTAATACTCTAACTTCTAAATCCAACCCTTATACAAGCCATAAAACATGTACTAAAAGAAAAAAAAAATAAAAAGAGGAATAATAAAATTTTCTTCTCATTTCATAAAAAGGAGGACATAAAAAAAGTAATTTTGTTTTTCCTATCATCCCACGACAAAGAAAAAAATTCATAAATAAGCTTGGGCGTAGAATATTTTATGAAAGGGATATTTTTAGTAGAATAATTGGACATATAACATAAAAAAAATTATATTTGAATAATATATTTTATACAGTATGTTTCCGGATCATCTTTACAGGAAGAAAAACTTTATTATTATTAAATTTTTGAGAAAAATGCATCCTTCGCAAAAAAATGTTGCTTCTTCTATATGGTTATTGTTCTCTAAAACGGTATGGAAATTTAGAAAAATAAAATATGGATTAATAATTTTAAAACAAGCAATTTTTCTTTATAAAAATGCATTTTTTTCAAACCTCACAAAAATATTAATTTTTGCGACGTGATTGACAATATAAAAAGTCATTTTAACGCTTGGGCATAAAAGTAAAAATCTTTCTTTATATTATTTGGAACGTTTGAAATTGTTTAAAAATGTATTTGGTGGCGTTTGAAAAAAATAGCATGTTCTATTCGAAGTAAAAATGACTTTTTGTGCTTCGGCTGCATGTCAAACGTAAGTGATGGCCAAAAGTATGGAAACTTTAGTTTTTAAAATATCACAGAAAATATTGCTATGCTTAAACTCTCAGGAATATAAATGAACAGCTTATCAGCAAATAAAAGTATTCCAAAAATTACACAGCGAAAAAAATCTGTTTAGCAGTTTTTGTAGGAGAACAATAGATTTCTTGTGGCCAAAAGTATGGAAACCATAAATAAATACATTAAAATTATTTAGTTTAAGCTGATAAACGGTACGATTTACTTCAGATAAATATAAACATCATGCCCAAGTCTAAATATTTCTCTACGGATTTAAAAAATAAAATAGTTGAATTATACAAGAGCGGTTATAAACAAATTCAAATAAGTAAAAATTTAAACATTTTAAAAGGCACCGTTTTGAAAATAATTCGTAAATTTAATAAAACAGGGAACGTTTCAACAGCTTTTAAGTCAGGAAGACCAAGAAAATTGTGCAACAGGACAATGAAAGTAATGAAGAGAATATCAATGGGAGATCCAAGAAAAATATCCACAGACATTTCTCGAGAAATGGGTGAAAGGGGAATATCGGTATCTGCACGCACGGTGAGAAGAAGGTTGGATGACATGGGACTTTTTGGAAGAGTTACGGTGAAGAAACCACTAATATCAAAGAAAAATAGGATGGCCCGCTTTAAATTTGCTCAAGATCATCTCACCTGGTCTTATCAGAAATGGAATACTGTACTCTTTAGCGACGAAAGCAAGTTTCAACTGTTTGGTAGTGACGGGAGACGTTATGTCCGAAGACCAAAAGGTATACGGTACAGCCATAAGTACCAGATGCCCACAGTAAAACATGGGGGTGGGAGTATAATGGTATGGGGGTGTTTTTCTCGCGCAGGTGTTGGTCCTCTTGTTAAAATTGATGGGATAATGGACCGTTTTTTGTACAAAGACATATTGGAGAATAATATGCTGCCTCATGCTGATGAAGAAATGCCACTCAAATGGTTGTTCCAGCAAGACAATGATCCCAAGCACAAATCTCGGTTTGTTCAAAATTGGTTAAATGAACATAATGTTCCACTAATGGATTGGCCCTCACAGTCTCCGGATCTTAACCCCATAGAAAATTTATTGGACCATTTGGATAGCAAAATTCGAAGCCATTCTATTTCAAATAAAAATGAATTATGGGAAGTGCTAAAAACTGAATGGGCGGCCATTTCCAGTAAAGATTGTACGAGATTGATCGATTCGATGCCACGAAGATGTAGAGAAGTAATTAATTCAAAGGGATATTCCACTAAATATTAGTAATTTTTTATTATCTTGAATTTTAATAAACATTCTTCTTAAGTTTCCATACTTTTGAGACAAGAAAATATTCATCATTTTTTATATATTTTTTGATAGCTGTAATTTTTTATTTAAATGTATTAGGTTTTGTAGGAAATTATTTGTAGGTCACGATTATATAAGTCATTTTATTTCATATTTTAATTTCTCAGCATAAATGACAAATTAAAAAAGTTTCCATATTTTGGCCACCACTATACAAAACAATATACTATTTTCTCAAAGTGTTAATGAAAAAAAGTGTTTCCTTCTGTAAAGACAATTGCTCTATGTTCTTAACTACAGTATGAGCCAAATAATTCGTAACTAATAAGATTTTCTTTTATTAACAGTAAAGTTTTATTAAAAAAAAAACAAAGTAAAATTTTTATAAAAAAAAAATCTTTAAACTCGCATTTTTTTAATTTAATTCTGTTGGATTAAAAATAATCTAATTACCTATATTTATTATAGCTGAACTAAAATAGAATTCACTCACATCTTTTTATGTTTATTAATCACAGTGAATTTATAGTCCAATACAACCGGAAGGACTTAGAAATTTAAGCTTCTGCCATTGACTTTGAAGCCGCGAACACACAACTTTAAAAATAACTTTTATACTTTCCCACTTCTTCAAAGACTTTTTCCAGCATTACACCGTACCCAGTTTTACTATTAGAAAAATGATATGTTTACTTCTTTTATAAATTAGAACTAATAAACTAAGTTGGTAATAAAATATTAAGTGAAAAAAATGTTCCAAAGATACCCGTTCTGTTTGTAATTGTTCAGGCTAATAATTGTTTTGGCACTTCATTTATAGAATAAAATACGAAAAATATTGCGATTATTCATAGAGATATAGTGAAAGTTTTATAGGTTTAGGAATTTATCTACTTGAAATAATAAATAACTATCATAGACCGATGTGTAATGAACAAAAACAATATGTTTCTTACAGTCATTGATGCAATATACAGGGTGTTCCATAATATAAGCATACAGGCTAAATAAAGGGATTGCGTAAACCAACCAGAACATATACAAAGAGGATTTTGATGCATAGAATACATGTATCAAATATCATTAAGATAGCTGTAATAACATCAGAACCATTATGATTTTTTTTATTAGAAAATTATACTATACCCTGTATCTTTAAAATTAAAATGTTTAGAACATAGCGTCGGCTTTGTGACGAAAAGGCGTATCTCGATTTTTGGCGATTTTGAGACATCAACGTCATGACATGCCCAATGGGTCATATTTTAACAGAGCGAATTTTACGCATCTCAATATTGTACCTTTTTCATTTTATATTCGTTTAAAAATTTGCCCCATCTCAAATACTACAATTCTTCGTTATGACGGAGAGACGTATGTTGAGATAGGGCTCCCCAAGTAGCATCTATCTGACTTCGAACTAAATCTGACCTGAAGCGACGTCAGACTTTGTGCAAATTTAGGTCGGGTGCTGGTGATACGACCGGTGACGTCGCTTTCCTAAGCGACGTCGTTGAATCCGAGTCGGTAAATCCAACGATCTGTCGACGTACAAAATAACAACGTACCATTTTATTAATTTCCCAACGTCGTTCCCACGTTGGCTTGCACGACGTACATATACTTGAACTAGTCCGACGTCTACCCGTTGTCCGAATAGGATACGTCTCACTGATAATCCCTAACGTAACGTCCAATTATATTTTATTGTATTTTATGTTCATATTTATAACCTAATTTACGTATCTCTATTTACGTCCGTAAATACAACCCATTAAGTAGCATTTGCGACCTAATGAACATCATGAATATAACCTAATAAAAAGTTTTTGTAAACATATTTAATTTTTTTATTATGCCTAAAAAAACACTAAAAAGGCATTTAGACATTCATCTACATTTTACAGAAAGAGGTCGAGGCTTTTGCAAAATAATAATAGTAGTAGTGATGTCTTGCCTCCACCCATAAATGCTTTTTATCCGGAAGAGATGCTGCATCTTAGACTGGTGCATCTTAATTTCATTTTTTAGCTTAGGAAACCAGCAGACCCCATCCTTCTCCCACATGTGAGGTTAGGCTTAAAAAAGTGGCTGCCCATTTTTTTTAAGCAGAAAACAAAAACTAAAATATAGTTGTACAAGGGTTGTACAAATCCACAAATCACTGATAACGCAAAGTGAGGTTACGTGGCGTACGTTGGAATTATACATATACGTATTATTTACAAATATACTCAGCCTAATCTCCAAGAAGTGAAGCCCAAACAGCGAAAGAACAATATGGAATTCTGCATAAGTCTATTTTACCCGGATATTCATTTAACTGCGCATGCCTCACCTGAAGAAGTTTTCATTGGAAGTGATTGACTGACATTTCACCTAACATGGAGTTGGAAAAATATCAAAAAATAGTTGGAAACAATAAACTAAACAAAATCACTCTTTTACGCGCACAAATAAAAAGTAATAGAAAAACAGAACTAAAACAACAATCAATCGGAATTTGGCGCAATCGCAGATCAATCCATATCCGGGTGAAATAGACTTATGCAGTTTTAATATGGAGCTGGGTTATGTTGTCTTTTTCTTTCGGCACAGAAATTGCACACGGGGTTAAATAGGGAACCCTGAGTATATTTGTAAATAATACGTATATGGAATTATATACATCATAATACGATTGCCGGTCGTCCGGTTTGATGACTTCGGTCGTGTGAGACGACTAATGTTGGAGACCCGATTGGAATTGGTATATTGGTAGTTCATATTAAGTCGGACACAGAAATCCGCCATTCTTAACAAGTATCAGATTGTCAGCCATTTTAAAATCGTTTTTTGTTTTTAAAATTTATATTCACATTTCGATATCTAGTAGAATAATATTGATAAGGTTGAGTTTGGGGAGAACCACAGTACAGTTTTATGATTAAACCGGCTAGAAAATTGAAGAACTAGCCAACCAAAAACTTGCCCTAAAAATACAATAATTTTTATCATTGTCAGGCCATTGGCATTGTCATCCCTGTCAATTTTTGGAAAATTTTATTTATTGTGCCTATCATCATCCTGCATAAACACGTAGAATAGAAGTCGAATTTGTTATCATTGAACAGAGAAAACAGAAACTGTTAGTCCACAGTTATTTGTATCAAAAAGGCACGAATGAAGAAACATTCCCAAATTGTTTAGTTTGGTTTTTATTAAATAGACCGTGAGTTTAAATGCCTTGTCTTAATGCCCACAATTAACTGAATAATTACTAAAAATATATTAGTTAAAAAATGTATTTTTGTATAAAAAAATAATATTATTAAAATAAGCTAGATAAGTGTATTTTAATTGATTATTGTCTTTGCTTCTAGAATGAAAATTGTCTTTGTTTTCAGTTGATCTAATCCAACGCGAATAAAAGTATTTAAAAATATTTCTTCCTGATTTTTTGGTGATTTTCAGATTTTTTCTGTATGTATGTATTGTATTTTCTTGTAGGTATTCCATAAAGTGAATATTGTATTTTTTTTTCCTTATTAAGAACACTTTACCATCATTTTTAAATTTATTTTACATGGGCGTATGTATACTATTCGTTCGGAAATAAATGTATTATTATTATAACAAAAAGGCCTATCTCTATTAAACAACTGAAAATAAATTATTTATTAGAATTTACGCACAATTTATCTTCAGAACGTTTTCTCAATGTCTCCGTTTAAGTGTTAATACTAAAACACTATTAAAAAATTAAAGACTTTACATTTATTGACCAAATAAAGTAAGTGATTTTCTTTAAATTGCTCTCCTGAAAAGTAGCAAAAATCGAGATAAGTGTTTTTCTTAGAAAAGGTCCGAGAATCACTCCTTTAATTATCATTAGCTTGTTATTGAGGAACACTCTACATACCGGATGCGTCTCAAAAGAGGCTCACCCCTATAACTTTTTTATTTATTCAGATTGATTGACGTATTCAATTCTTTTCAGTCACTTCCTGTTTCACCGGAAATGTAACTTACAACTTTTGATTTTTAAATGACACCCGTGGTATTTTTATACTTCATTTGATAGAAAATGACATTCTACAATAGAATGATATAGCATATGTCAACTTTTGACATTTTCAATTAAAAAAAATAGCATTTTAAATTTTAATTTAGGGTGCCATGACCATAAATGTTACGACAATTTAACTCAAAATACCAAGTGCCAAAGTACCAAATTATTCGTAAAAAAATGCTTTTTCCAAATATGCTTGAGCCACCCTTGTTCCATTTTATGGTGAAACAAGAAGTGACTAAAAACAATTGAATACGTCAACCAATCATATTTTATGTCATATACTAATATACCCTTCATACCAAATCTCGTTTTTTTTATCTGAAAAAACAAAAAGTTATAGAGGTGAGCCACTTTTGAAACGCACCCGGTATACAGTAAAATATTTTCAAACAATAAGAAATGTAGGTAATAGTTTTTTTATTCGTTACAATAAAACACCCGGTATTAATTGAAGCAAACTGTTTTGATTTTTTTAATTAAAATAAATAAAAATATGTCCACATAACAAAAAAATTATTAAAAATCGGTATAGTTAGTTTGACAAAAAAATTGAATTAAATATAGAAAAAAATAATGAAAACTCACCATTGTATGTATACAGTAAAATATTTTCAAACAATAAGAAATGTAGGTAATAGTTTTTTTATTCGTTACAATAAAACACCCGGTATTAATTGAAGCAAACTGTTTTGATTTTTTTAACTAAAATAAATAAAAATATTTTCACATAACAAAAAAATTATTAAAAATCGGTATAGTTAGTTTGACAAAAAAATTGAATTAAATAAAAAAAAATAATGAAAAACTCACCATTGTCGTTATTATTTTTGCCGAAATGGTTCAAATCAATGTCTTTTAAACTTTTCAATAACTCGCGCCTATCCTGACGAACATTTTCACCCGTTTTCCCAAATTTTACCATTTTTTTCTTCACCCTTACTATACACCTGTCACAGAATTTTTAACCCCCAAATAAGTCCCTTACCCATAATTACGTCTCTGGCTCATCTTTGTTTCGAAAAAAAAAATAACCCGAGTTATTTTCACCTGCCTGGCATTTTCTATAGGTATATTTCAACTAGGTAGATAGATCGGGTTTACGTCAGACAGCTAACCGATGTTGCGCGAACTACGGCTCTCGCCTAAATGTCGCTTGTTACGCCTTTCTAGCGATAGCCGTATAGCTATAGCTCGCTTTAGAGCCGTTGCTACGTAACAAAAGGGCCTAAAACATCAGGGCCGGGTGGTTTAGCGGCGCCACTGAACTTCGTGGGCCCCCTCGAATGCTTTAAGGTCCCTTTACGCGTGCCAGTCACGTCTCAGTTCGTCCGATCCGTCAAACAGTCTCAGTTGCTATAAAAAAAGATGTTACTTTGAATGTGGTAGACAGTGGATTCAGTATTGAAACTAAAACAATTTTGGACTGCCGTTGTCTTTATTTTGCTTACACAACGTCTCGATCAGAAGTATCACTGACCGTTATCAAGTGTAACCTAATCATTGGGTGTCGTATATTAGTTCAGTCACTAGGGATCAAAAAAGGGGCCTGCTTCTAAAAAAGTCCGGAAGTTTTGAAACTTTGCAGGTTTATAGGTTTTGGGGTCCCTAACTAAAATGCATAAAATGCACAGACTTGCCGCCGGCGCCGCACATTGGTTCAGATTCAAAAAAATCGACGCATAGATTCAAAAAAATCGGTACAATAATTTTTATCATTGTCAGGCCATTGGCATTGTCATCCCTGTCAATTTTTGGAAAATTTTATTTATTGTGCCTATCATCATCCTGCATAAACACGTAAAATAGAAGTCGAATTTGTTATCATTGAACAGGGAAAACAGAAACTGTTAGTCCACAGTTATTTGTATCAAAAAGGCACGAATGAAGAAACATTCCCAAATTGTTTAGTTTGGTTTTTATTAAATAGACCGTGAGTTTAAATGCCTTGTATTAATGCCCTCAATTAACTGAATAATTACTAAAAATATATTAGTTAAAAAATGTATTTTTGTATAAAAAACAATATTATTAAAATAAGCTAGATAAGTGTATTTTAATTGATTATTGTCTTTGCTTCTGGAATTAAAATTGTGTTTGTTTTCAGTTGATCTAATCCAACGCGAATAAAAGTATTTAAAAATATTTCTTCCTGATTTTTTGGTGATTTTCAGATTTTTTCTCTATGTATGTATTGTATTTTCTTGTAGGTATTCCATAAAGTGAATATTGTATTTTTTTTCCTTATTAAGAACACTTTACCATCATTTTTAAATTTATTTTACATGGGCGTATGTAAACTATTCATTCGGAAATAAGTTTATTATTATTATAACAAAAAGGCCTATCTCTATTAAACAACTAAAAAGAAATTATTTATTAGAATTTACTCACAATTTATCTTCAGAACGTTTTCTCAATGTCTCCGTTTAAGTGTTAATACAAAAACACCGCACATTGGTTCAGATTCAAAAAAATCGACGCATAGGGATCAAGAAAAAAATTTCGAAAATTTCAACAATGATATTATTTTCAACAGATGATGGGTCCATTTATTCAAATTTATCACGATCCACTTTTTAATCGTAATAAAAAAGCGTACAGGAATGTTGTTTTCGTTAGATTTTGTAGTTTAAATATATCAGTTATTTGCTGATAATGGTTTAGTGTTGCTAATATATTTTGGTTCTTCATTCAGAGACTTGGAAATAAATTAAATTATAATGGATTTTGAAGACCAAGGTAAGTACTTTTTAAGAGAATTTTATTAACTTAAATATTTTTTTATGAAGCTAGTAGTTACCACAAACATAGTAGAGCGTTTTTTTGAAAAAAAAATCAACTTTGAAATTGCGTATCTTTAGAACTCCGCAGATCACCGCTTCTGTATTTTATAATTTTACCCCAAGAGACACCGAGGTAGATGATATATAAATTAGAATTTTAAATCGACCAGTAGTCTGATTTTTATTCCATGGATAAATTATTATACTAATATTTTTTGAGTAACTCTGGAGTGGTAAAAGTGTAACTATAGTTAAGTCTATTGCTTTTATTTTTAGGAACAATAAGCCGCAGATCAATATGTGAGAGGTTTTTGAAAATGGGGTTTAATAATAGGTCAGAAGCGGATATTATTGATGAAATTATTTCATTTTTGTGTGATAATAATATTCCTAACATATTATCGAAAAAAAAGCAAATTGAAAATTTTGTTTATAAATGGTCAGAAAAGTGGAGGAAATGTAATTATACTTGAAGCAGTTTTATTTCCAACAATTGTCTCTGGCTGAATAAAAAATTACTTCAAATGGAAGAGAATCATCTTTTGATGACCCTGGCCCTTCAAGAAGAATATTTTTTTTCAGAATTGTCCAAGTCCCAAAAAAATAAAGAGACCAAAGGTATATATTGCCAAGGAATTAATTTATAATATCTTACAGAAAAAAACATGTTTTTTTTATCTACATAATGCTGCAAATATTGCATTATTGCTTTTAATTAATGGCAAAGATTAAAAATCAATTTATTTCTAGAAATTAGAGATTCTTACACCTCGGAAGTTCTGGCATATGCTACAGTTTCTAATTTAAGAAAGGAACATAAAAATGAGACGGCAAAAGCAGTCCAACTAGGGTTTGAATTTCCAGAGAAAGTAGTCGCCACTAAAAATAGGTGAAGATTTACCCGCAGATGACACTCATATGGCAACAGAATATTATTGTCAATCAGATATTGAAGAAGAACTAGAAGAAAGTGGTGGTGAATCAAGTCCTGAAGAAAATGAGTTTGAAGACTCCATTTAACGCATATTGCAATTTAAGTTTTCTTTTCCTTTAATTTAGACCAGATTATCTAATGGGTATTCTTTTTTTGACTAGGTTCGAAGCATTTTTCAAACCTTTTTAAAAACTATAATTTTTGAATAAAATTCATAGAAAATCCCCCTTTTTTAATATTTTTATACTAAACAAACATAGTCTCAAAATATATTTTGTTTATTCCTTGGACTATCTTTGTCATGTTAATAGATCCGCCATTAAACCTAATAAGTTTAGAATTTGTAATAAAATTAAAAATATCCTATGCGCCACTTTTTGGCAATCTGAACCAATGCCGTCTCTAATAGAAAAGCCTTGGGGCGAGATTTATGACGTCACGCTAGTTAGATACTACGGATTAATAAATATGTTGTAGAATACATGGAAAACATAATTATTCCTCAGATTTTTGGTTTGTATTTTAAAAATTATATAGTTCACATGAAATATACATAATATACAGTTAATAACTACAACATATATACCTATTTATAGTAATAAATACTTTGGCAAATAAACTATGAACCATACAAATGCAGCAAATGTTTTACAATATACAAATAATGTTTTACATAAGGTATTGGGTAAAATGTAAATATATTTTAAATTTTGGGGTTTGAAAATCGATCTAATTTAACAAAAAACATTCAATATCTACTAACAGTGATGTATTATTATTTGTATTCACAAAATTTATATGTATATTTTGCAAGTATCAATGTCCGAAAAATTATATTTACAAATAATACAATATCATCTAAAAAAAGGCGTCAGCGATGGCTATGAAATGAAGATCGCTGGCATTTTATATGTAAAATTATTCTAAAATGTTTGATTTTCTTGGGATTTTTAGGTTCGGGAAAAACGCTGATTTAAGTTTTCATTTGGATTTTCATTATTTTTATTTGGTTTAAAAAAAAAACGTTTTGGCTAACTATAGCCTTCATCAGTGTTGTGTCATATGAAAAAAATAGTGTCGAATATAATCCAAAAAATTACATATGAAATATTCACACCACATAATGTTTACTGCAATTAATAAACTAATATAAACTTATCAAAAGATGACCACATATTTTTTAGAATTATTATTGTTAACAGTAAAATTATCTACATTGACTATGGAGACTATGGAGTACGCAGTAAACATTATGTGGTGCGTGGTGTGAATATTTTATATGTAATTTTTGGATTATATCATTACTATTTTTTTCATATGACACAACACTGATGAAGGCTATAATCTTAGCCGAAACGTTTTTTTTTAAACCAAATAAAAATAATGAATATTTAGAAACAAGGTTCAAGAATATTAAATTTTCCAAGATTGTAAAATTCTAGTTAATTTTTTTATGTGTACAATTATTTAAGGAATGTCATCGATGTTCATTTCCAAGCCAACTAGACGCCGATTTTTTTTCGATGATACGGTATAATTCTTAAATAAAATGTAAATAACATTCAACCAATTAAAACAAAGAAATATGAATTTCTAAGTATTTTTAGTAACACCTTTATTCTTAAAACTTAATTTTGTATTGCAAATATACCAATTTTATTGTTATTTTATTCATATTGTATTCAGCCATCACTTAAATATTTGATATTAATTTGGTATTATAAATAATCGACACTATTCAGTAAAAAATACTGAACAAATAGGTATATGTTATGCTTTACATACATTATATTATCAAACAAAAACACATTCTTCTTTTAAACTTTATCATTCTTGTCTTTACAAAAATCTTTTTTAATTTTGAACTCAAAATAATAATCTTTTTCGTGATCTTTAATACACATATTCTTTATTTTTCCCTAGATCATAATACCTACTTACGTGTTTAAATCTATCGAAGCTGAACCAACAACACTTGGAGTGGAGATTCCATAATATGAATAAAATAAAGTCCAGTTTTCTTTAATACCATCCTGGGAGAATATTATATTTAAATTTATTAAAGATATTTTCAATTGAATTGTCTTACATACATTATATTATCAAACAAAAACACATTCTTCTTTTAAACTTTTATCATTCTTGTCTTTACAAAAATCTTTTTTAATTTTGAACTCAAAATAATAATCTTTTTCATGATCTTTAATACACATATTCTTTATTTTTCCCTAGATCATAATACCTACTTACGTGTTTGAATCTATCGAAGCTGAACCAACAACACTTGGAGTGGAGATTCCACAATATGAATAAAATAAACATAATTGTCCAGATTTCTTTAATACCATTCTGGGGAGAATATTATTTTTAAATTTATTAAAGATATTTTCAATAGAATTGTCTTGATTTATAACTCGTACCCACTTTTCTTGCTCTTCCGGATACTTTAAGCTGCCTAGTATAACTATCCTTTCCACCAGGAACATAATAAAGATGAGGCATAGCACCAAAAACACACTCCACTTAAGCTTTATTGATGAATTGTTGAGTCTTAAAAAACACACACAAAAATCACGATAAATAAAAAAATTTATGGGCACTTTTAGGTTAAAGCGCTTAACAAAACGTGTAATATTTCGTGTTTTTTTATGAGAAACAGATTGACCATCATAGTAACCATATATCTGGTAGTACTTTATGTCACTTAAACACCAAAATAATTCGTTTTTTGCACTACAATAACAAATAATACCAAAAATCAACCGACAAAATATGAATACAGAATCTAACCCAATATCTAAGTATGTACAGCTGATGAAGTAAACAAAAGTCCGCCCGTGGGCTGATCTTTTATAGAGGGCATTGTCTGAACAACTGTGCACCGCCATCTTGCCGAGATGGCGTCCAAAATCGGTATTTTGTGAATATCTCGAAAACTATGCGTTTTTCGCGAAAATTTGAGGAAAGCAAAATTAAAGAGAATAAAATTTCCTATAAAAAAGGTTTTATGAAAATTAGTTTAGGCACCGTTTAGGCACAAAATCCCTGGAAATTTTACAATTTTGCGTAAAATATGATATATTATGTATAGTCGATTTTCCGAAATAAAATGTCGATTAGGGTTCACTAAAACTAGTTTTAGTTTAGTTTCTTCAATTTTGTCATGAAACAGTGGCGTATCATTAATTCGCTCATTAATTTATGAATAATTAATTGTCGTGCTGGACAGCATTCATTGCGAACTTACCACCAGGTTCAGCATTGGTCTGGTTGTACCAAAGATGCCGAAGAATGGGGTTGGAAGAAAACAAAAACAGGCATTACTCCAGTCACAACGTTGAAAGATCCAGCTCCAAAATCCCTGTTGGCATTTTTATCCTGTAAATGCCTAAAAACCAACAACTATGGTAAAGCCTGCGGATGCAGAAAAGTAGGATTAAAATGTTCAATGATTTGTGCATACTGCTATGGAAAATCCTGTGACAACGTCACTGAAGTGTCACTCGACGAATCCGATGAAGAGGAGTTGGACTTGCCTGTAGATATCCCTCTGGCGGCTGAAGATAAGAGTTGGACGTATTGAGAGACCACCCTGATGAGTCCAGCACAGCAGACACGATCGACTTTGACATCAATGAGCCAGATTTAAAGAGGACATATTCATATCTACCAATAATAAAATCTTTAGCAATCCAAGTATGGAAATTTTAACAAAATGGCAACCATTGGCAGATATTCTCAGTGGACAACCTCATGCTTGACTACACCCAACTTCTTCACAGGTGAATGCTCGGCTCTATATCTATCGAAACATAACAAATAAGAACAATAAATAAACAAAACGTACAGTTGATTATTAAGTGAAAGAATAGGGAATTTAGATTTTTTCTTCCAGATTTTTTGCACGATCATTTTAAGTGATAAATTTTATCGGAAAAGAAAATTTCCCCAAATAAAAAAACTTGTTGAACAAGGCAACGTGAAGTGTCAAACTCCATTAATCTTGCCTAAGAGTGAAATTGAATAAAAGCAAAATTGCTTTCAGCTTAATCGACTGTCCAAATTAAGTACTTTTCACAAAAAAAATGGTTTAGGGTAACTTCATTAATTAAAATTTCGTTGTTGAATTAATGTTTGAAAAATGAAATATGTGGACATTTATATTTTTAGCGATAATGCAGAGAATTTGTAGTTTTGTAGTAATTGACATTAAATGTTCATTATTTGGATAAATAAAGCAGTGTTAAAGTAGATATATTTTAAACTAAAGTGAGCTTTAAATCACAGTTAAGTTTCCTTGGAATTGCATTCCTAGACATCTTAAATGAGAAAATAGGTCTAAAATAAAAGAATAGTAAATAAAATTTCCGTCTCGGGAAAAATCCAATATTTTTTGGCGCCGACTGTCCACTAGGGATGTATAAATAATATCGTCAATATATCGATAATTTTTATCGCCATATCGATGACATATGTCATCGATAGATTAGATTAGATTCTACGAGGTGCTTATCAGCCTGATCCACTGCGTCCTTTTCAGATCCATTGTAGTCCTCTTCTGATTCTTAGGTTACATTTTCCAGTCCTATCCTTTTCGAAAAGTCTAGCAACTTGGAAACTAAACCCTCCATATATAGCTATTTATCTATATCTAATATAGACAATAAATTACAACCTTTTTAAGGCCAAGTATCATTCAGTAAGCATAATTAAAATTTAAAGAGTACGGGCCAAGTAATGACGTCTAGGGCTTGACCTCCCCAAAATTACCATCGAATGTCATTCCCCAGCCTTCTTTGACGCCGTTTTTTTGTCGATCGTATAGTATTGTTTAGTCGTGAGAATGTGCCATAAGAAAAACTGAAAATGCGTCCAAGTGTTTGAAGGACTCCCTACTAAAAGATGTTGAGAATAAACAAATTTAAACGCATGTAAGTTTATATTTACCTACATACAAACAGATCTTCAAGGTATTTATTTGTTTTTACGTAAACCGCCGAGTTTATTTTCAATGCCGGTATTTTAAAATTAGTTAAACCGTATAATGTTGTACTTAAAAAACGATCAATGGTGTTTTTTTCTAAATATATACCTACATCAAGGAAGAGGTGCTACAGCTTTAAGGTGCCTTTACACGAGCCAAGTCAGTTCAATTATTTTCGTATGAATGTAATATGCCCCTATGAACTCGACAAAACATGTCAATTCGTCAAACGAGTTAGTAACTGCCAAAATATAATAATATCGCCATATTGTTTTTTCTCATGCTGACATAAATGTGAGAACATTTTATCCAGTTTGTATATATGTTAATAGAAATTCTTGTATTGCTTTATCATTACCATTACAAATGATTAATTCAGTACCGAAAAAAATCCGCCTTCTGCGGGCCCACGCTTTTTAGTATTAGCTTTGTTCGGGTTCTTGTTATTACCGCGTATGCGCAGAAGGAAATATGAAGACATTATTCCATTTGCGCATGCGCTGCAGAGTTCTAGGACGGTTCAGAATCAGTAATAACAAGAACCCGAAAAAAGTTATTATTATTACCTCGTAGGGCATGCCTAAAGCAAAAATTCACGCAACACCACCGGTAGTTACTACCCTCTGTAAAACCGTACCACATATTGGCTTTTGTCAAAGCCCTGAGACCGTATCATGAGTTATAACTGAAGAAAGGGGGACACATGTGTAAGGTCTCTTCTACAGATCTCTACATTCTATATTATTTTATACCCTTTTTACTTACCTAAACTAGATGTAGCGAACTCTGATACAGATTTCTGGGCACTTTCATCTTTTTTTAAGTAAGATATAAACCCCAACTTCTTTTTATTTTTAGAAGAATCGAATACTTTTCTTCCAAAATGAGTTCTCACCATTTTATCTCTGCGAAATAATTAAAATTCTTAAATATTGATATTCAATTAGCAAGAGAAAAATTGCTTGGTTATTATTATTAGCAGTAAAACATACAGAAATATTAATACCGTCGCAAATAGTAACCTAACCAAATACGCTATTAATAATGACTAAATTTTCTATGGTAACCGCACAGTAAGACAATGTAAACTCCTTTTCAGGAGTTTTCAGGAAAGAAAATTAGAGAAATAATCAATAATTTGGCGGGAAACTAGGTCAACGTTCTTTTCTAGTACAACTTAAGATTGGGTTTTATAAATATATCTAATTTTCTATAAAAATTAAAGAATATAACTTTATGGTAAAATAATAATATCTAATGTAAAAAAAACCAGACAAGTTGTTTTAGACTATTTTTATGGTTTAATTACATATGGTATAATTTTCAGGTTTTTCCCTGTACTTTATATAGTATAAGACGATATTAGTTGCCAAATTTCAGAGTTCTAGATCAACCGAAAATACCCTATAAATTTTGATTCCCTTGAAAGTGTCCAAATATACGTTTTTTTACGTTAACTTAAAAGTTTGATTTTTTTCATGAAAAATAATGCAGTTGTATCATATTCCATCTCCCAAAAGAATCTACTGTTGAATCAGCGCTCAGCGCTCACATATGGTTCGCTCCTTGTCTGTGAAACGAAACCCCCCAAAAAAGTATTTTTATTATTTTCCCCATTTAAATCAATCCAGATATTAAAACCGGAAAATGTTCAAAAATGTTTTACTGGTTGCATAGGTTCCATAAAGATAAAGATTAAAAATGATTTTTTTACTAAATTATTACTTGATATTGTGAGAGATTTAAGGCAAATAATTTTTACCAGTAGCAGTGGATACATGGATTTTTAGAAGATTTAATAAAAATATGGAGGGCTTAAAAAAGGAGATTTATCGGCAATGGGCAAATTTGAAATTTCTGTCCCCACTTTTAAGCAGCTTCCTCGGTTTGACAGCAGAGGCACTGCGATCGACTGGGATACTACATTTTCATTGTTAGTATACGATTTAATTGTGTTTTTAATAAAATTTATAGTTAATTTACTGAATTTTTAGCAGTACAACAATGAGTCGTGGTAGAAATTGCTTTGTACCTGGCTGTACAAGTGGGAATCCCAATAAAAACAAGGCTAATAAAGAACGGGGTGAAAGAAACCCAAGCCTTTTCAAAGCTCCTAATGTAAGTAGTATGACTATTTATTTATAAAAATTATGGATAGATGTTAAGAAAAACATTAAAATTATATACTGTCAGTGTACAGATTAAATTATAAACCAAATTAATAGGAAATATAGCCTAAAATCAACATGTGTATAACATAACCTAGGAGGCCTTGTTATAAAATTAAAATAATTTGGACTACTGACATATTTGCATATGTCAGATTGTAAATTTATTATAAAAATTATTTAGATTTTTGACTAGCCGTCGCAAGACGCTTTTTCATTGAGGAATAATAAGAAATAATTTGAAAATTATTGTATTGTGGTTGATACTTTTGATTGTGTATATAAACCATTTAGAATAGTTTTTATGAATATGAATAAGCTCTTTAAATTAATATGTAGGTATATTGTAGCTAGGTATTTTTTTAGAATGCATTTTTTTTAAATTGTAATTTTTTGTGTTCTTGATATAATATGATGTTCCTGTTTTATTTTTTGGCATAGTACATATAGATATTTAATATCTAAGTGCTAAATTGTATATTAAATTTATATATTGTATATTTTATTTATTAAATTTAGTGGAATTAGTTAATAGAAACAAAAGTTGTAATGTATTAATATTGCTAAATAAATATTTATATGATGAAATAAGTCAGCGTATATACATATTCACAACTCTGTATTTTTGTGCTTTTGAAATAAACTGAGTACATTATTTATTCATTAATATTTTATTTACAAACCTACCTTATATTAATAAAGTGAATATCAATAGAAAAACCTTTACAATTATTAGGTGACATTGAATATAATATATCTTGAATTTAATTGTCTACGAAACAGTGACAATTTGCAAAACTTTGCTAATGACATTAAAACTTACAATTCAACGCTAGAAAAAACGCTATTGAACACAGGAAACGTTTCAGCTCAATATACCTACTCTCTAGTTTCAGCTATAAAAAGTTATGGAATAGATAACACCGATCAAAGGGTGCAATGGTAACGTTCGTCTTCAGTTTCCATTTATGATTAAGTTATTCCTGATAAAATACTCTTAATTTTCGTTATTCAATCTGTCAATCGCCATAAAACCACTACTAGTTCGAAAGATTTTAATGTTTATTAAAATGGTATCACACTAAACTGCATGTAAACATGTCAATTTCAAATGTTTTAATGAAAAACTATGAACCTTTAAACTGCATCAACAAAACTATTAATAAAACACTAACACAATCACACCATAAACTATTTCATTCGCATTTCTCATCAAGAAACAATTACTGTTTACATCAAATCAAAGGTTGAACTGGTGATAAATTTGTTGCTGGAACTTCTATCTTTTTTGTACAACAGTTCTAGGGAAGATTTATTTTAGCAGCTTATATGTTTCTTCGGTCGTGTATGCACTAAAAAGAACCACATAATAAAACATTTTTATAATATCAACTTAGGAAAAGGATATATTAAACCGGCATCTAATATAACCTAACTAACTTTTCAAACTCAAATTTAAGGTTTTGTATTCACAATTTTAGCCACGCACATTGCTCAATTAGAAAAACCACGTTTCTAAAAGCTAACTCTGGTAAAAATATGCCCAAATATTAACTTGGCTCTATAATTTATAACAAAATAGTTATTCTTGCCATAAGAAGCTGTGTATTTCTAGTATCCCAATCATCACAAGCGCCCCTAACGGCGATTTTCGAACTTCATTTAGATCTCAAAAACTGGGCCCATAATTTTTGCGTTCGATTCGCCTCCTCCTTTTAGACTCCATAAATAAAAATACCATAGAGAAGCTAAATAAAAAATTCCATTTGTAAATGTCAATGTCAAAAGAAAATCCAAAAAGTGTGGTTATATTTTGCTAGTGGCGGTTTTTAGTTTTTAGTTTACAATTTGCTTAGAACTTTAAAAAATAAGAATTACTTATTTATTTGTAAAAGTATTGAGTTAATTCTACAGGTAGTACAGTAGCTCACAAGATAAACCGAAATTTCATAATTAACTTATTTTTATAGTTGTAAGAAAGATGTCAGACTTCTCAGATTTGTTACAAGAAGCAGAGAGGCTTACAAATGACTTGGAGGGCACTACAGAACTTCCTAAAGTGGAAAGATCACTGAAACAAGTACTGGAGGCTTCGAACGACTTGTATTCTCGCGTAGCTCAAACAGGATCTAAAGATATCCAAGCGTAAACTGACAAGTAACTATATTAGTTCTTAACTACATCGAAGTCAATTTTAGGAATCTCCTGTTGGGCTCGAAAGGAATCGACCTGCCAAAAATCGTACAGAAACTCGAGTCAATAAGTACTAAAAGAACCTTTGAGCCTATTCAACCGGTTGACGATTTGGACTTAACAAACAAACTACAAAATGAAATTCGGAATAAAATTTTGGAGGCTTTTGATTCTGGTTATAATACAGTATGTAATACTCTATATAGTGCACCATTTAACATATAAGTACCTACAGAAAGAAATGTTTTTTTAGATGTTAAAATCAACTTATGAAAATTCTTGGGAACATCAAGCTTCCGAATGGAAACAGCAAAAAAGGCAGATTCTTAACGCCCTATGTGGTAGATCAGGGTTGCCGATTGACATAGGAAAACATCAGAGTATACTTATGGAAAAAACTATCGTGCCCATTGCACATTTGGGTGCAACTGAATCAATTTATGCCTCAAAAATTATCGAATACAATAATCTATTAGTTAGGGGTTTGCCAAAATCAAACTTGGTAAATGTATTTTGTGGAATTTCATCCGAATTTAAAGATACAGTAGGTTTTTTATTAATATTTAAGTCACTGATGATTTATAGTGTTGTTTTTTTTTTTAGAAAGTAAAAGATATGTGGGAGATTATAAAGTATATGGTTCAAGTGCCTCCTTTTCCTCAATCGGAAGATCCTATCAAAGCGAGAAACACTAAACCTGTTATTGAGGCGTTAGTATTGCAAGGAAAAAAATACTTAGAAGATAGGTGAGTAAATAATATTTTGTTTTTGGGCGGTTAGCACTGTACTATTTACTGTTGAGATTTTGACAAAAAAATTCTTGTAGGTACAAAACTTACATGAGCAATATAGTGAATGAAAATCTGGCTCATGCTGATCGTGGAGGTGTCCCCGGTACATACCCTCTAGTTAGAAGTTTTGTCGGTTTACGTCTTCAGGGGGAGTATTTGGGTTTAAGGGATGGCAATATTGATGACCGTCCATTATGGCCTATGGTAAATTCAGTCATAGATAATATTATAGACCATTCAATGACAGTTATTTCTTTAATTTTTGAAATTTAATCTATCTAAATCATATATTCTCTTGCTGGACAATTTATACCTACTGTGTGATAAAAAAGAAAACGGCGCCACAGTGACCATGGAACTGAAAATTCATCACGGTCGTCGATTTTTATTTCAGAAACTACCGTGACACTCTTTTTTTTCAGAAATACGATATTTTATGTCTTCTAATTATTTTTAGGTGTATTATTGTCTAAGATCTGGCGACTATGCAGCAGCTATTTATTGTCTTAAAAAAAGTTGTTTACCTGAATTTAATGAGGTGATTGCGCTTTTAGAAGCAAAGTTAAGAAAGCCCAATGGTTCAGAAATAACAAAATTGGAGGAAAATATAAGGTTTCATATTTTTTCAGTTCTTTTAGTAAACATATTTTTTACACATTTTTTTAGATTTTCATATAGAAGATTTGTAAGAAACGAGACTGATCCGTTTAAAAGAATCATTTGGTCTGTGTTAGGATGCTGTGATGCTTCCGATGAGCATTCGGAAGTGGCTAGAACTGCAGATGACTATTTGTGGCTAAAATTAAGCTTGGTACGTGTCGATTACAACAAAGATGACTACATCAAATACAACGATTTACAGGTGAAAACAAGTTATATTTATTTTTATTTAGTTGTCTTTAGCAAATTACTTTATACAGACCGATTAACAATGCTTGAAATAGTTGCCTATTCTGATTTTCCTGGTTTGGTTGGTAAAAAGTACTCGAAATTAGATAAAAATAATAGATTTAATCAGGTTTGCTAATTTATTTATTGAATAAATCTTAGACAAGGAAAGAGAGGGGACGGGTAACACGCATATTCTCCCGTGATCGGTTAGTGAGGCCAAAATTCGATCGGCGGCCATACATTGGTGACAAGATTTCGAGGTGACACCAAGCGAATTTTTATGTTTTTTGTGACAACTGTTTTGTTTTAAATTTATAAACTGTGTTGTTTAGTATGGTGAGATGTTCAGCGTATGGCTGCAAAGGCTGAAGCAAAAAAAAATGACTGGAATTACATTTTACAGGTAAAAGTTGATACACAACTTTTGTTATGTAGTCATAAAATGTACATTTTTTTCCATTATAGCAGTAAAAATATGTAAAATGCTTTTAATATGTCTTGTACCACATCCAAAGCAAACTATTTTTATTAATTCCAAGTAGTATTTCCAATATCCTATATTATAATTAACATTTGAAACTATAAATAATGCTACTCAGACTGGATTTCTCCAGTGGCGTAGGGTATTATAATTAGAGAAAGACACAATTTCTGCAATAAACATTTTTTATATATTTTACATATAAAAAAATGTATAAAGTATTGTTATCAAATATGTAAAATAATAATTGTAAACTATAAAAAAAAACATGTAAAATTTTGGTTATAAAAAATCTATTTGTATAGTTATTACATAAAACTTAAATTTACCTGTCAAATTTGCTGGGGGTGGACAAACTTGTGGTGGTCCACTTGATACAATATTTTTTTAAATATCCTTTGAAAAAATTTGCTAGTTTAGGTTTATAATAATAGTTTCAGTGAGTAATTAATAAAAATTTAAAAATAAATAAATAAAACAACACAAAGCTTCTAGAATTGTTTATTTTTTGCGGAAATTTAGGATATTCTTATAATTGAAGGTAACAAATATTAAAAATTACATTATTCATTGAATCCATAGGCAAGTGTGAAGGGGATTGGCTAGATTCATTATTATAAATTTTGTTATTAAACGTGTAAATTTTTCAATATACCTATTTCATGGGAAATTGTTGGTAAAACTGCAATTCTTCTTATTCAATGTTTTTAAAAAGTAAAAAATGCACATTTAAAAAAATTATCTCCGCCACTGGTAACTTACCTTTATTAAAAAGATCGTTTTTATAGGAACTTGTATCCTAATAAATTCTTTGGTCTTGAGATTTATCTCAAAATTGCTTTTCATTAAACACAGAATAGTGGGTTATTATAACAATCCTCCTAAATTAAAAAATTTGCACCTGCGCCACTGAAATTCTAAAAATGTTGGTTCTTTACCTATGTGGTAGGAAATTTTCTTCTCTTCAATTTTTTACTCGTCACTTTTTTTCCTAAAATTCGTCGTTTTAGAGTTATTGAAGAAAAAGTAAAAAAAGGGCCATTTTTACCCCTTGTAGGGGTGGTTTTGGGGTGACGGGCTCAACGGTTCATCGCTGGGGTTTCAGGATTTTTAAAGATCTACAAAATGAAGCTCCGTGCAAAATTGCAGCTTGTCTCTAATTTGTTGAAGGTCACCCATGTAAAAAGATGTATCGGCCCTGAGCTAACAGCATTGCCAACTTTTTCACTCATTGTTGATCGCACCAAACCGGGTTCGTCTCAAAAGTGGCTCACCCCCTATAACTTTTTTATTTTTTCCGATAAAAAAAACGAGATTTAAGCCGGAGTCTCATGCATCCGAAATCCGATGGTACGACATCCGAAATTTGAAGTTATCGTGTGAAATAAAAAAAGCCTGTCACATACATCCGAAAGTTCGTTCCGAAATTTAACAGTTTGGACATTTAGACCTGTAATTACTATGTATTATTATTATGTATTATTCCATGAATTATTGGAGAAACACTTATAAAAATAACTTTCTCGCCAAATATCCCGAAATTGCCCACTTCCCACTAAACCTGATTTTAAAAACCAATGTTTTCAAAAAAAAGTGAGGTTAAAAAACACACGATATCGTACAAAAGTTAAACAAAATTTAACTTTATACGAGGTCGGACGATTAGTTAAAAATATCGGATAAAAATTGGTGTCAAAATATTTCAACCAATAGGAGCACCGTCGGATCGTCGTGTCATCGGATTTCGGATGCATGAGACTCCGGCTTTAGTATGTTAGTATATGACATAAATTAGGATTGATTGACGTATTCAATTGTTTTTGGTCACTTCCTATATCACCGGAAATTACTACAACTTTTGTTTTTTAAATGGCACCCTCTGAATTTTTTACTTTATTCGATAGAAAATGACATTCTGAATAGAATGACATATCATATGTCAACTTTTGACATTCTCGCATAATAAAAAATCGTTTTTTAAAATTCAATCTAGAGTGCCGTGGCTATGTTAAAAACACAAATTCTTAATCAAGGAACCTTGGAAAAATAGATTTGATCGTCTAATGTTTTTAATGTCTTGTCCTGGCCAGTTAGAAAATGCTCAAATCGTATTTTTAATCATATCTCAATTTTTCAAATGGAACGAGGGTGGCTCATTAGCATATTTGAAAAAAAACATTTTTTTACGAATAATTTGATACCACACACTTGGTATTTCGAGTCAAATTTTCGTTACGAACCGCAAGTTATAATGTCAAATAAACCATATGCGAAAATGTCAAAAATTGACATATGCTATGTCATTCTATTCAGAATATTATTTTCTATCCAGTAAAGTAAAAAAATACCTAGGATGCCATTTAAAAATCAAAAGTTGTAGTCATTTCCGGTGAAACAGAAAGTCACCGAAAACAATTGAGTGCGTCAATCAATCCTAATTTATGTCATATACTAACATACCAAGTCTCGTTTTTTTATCTGAAAAAAGAAAAAAGTTATAGGGGTGAGCCACTTTTGAAGCTACATTCGAAATCAATTCGCTGGCCGAGTGGCACTTCGACGTTAAAGTCGGCACGAAATTAACCATTCACAACAAATTTCAATTCGAATTTTGCGCATGCGTGTTTAAACGTTCTCCTGGCATTTTTTAGGTTAGTTGTTGGTTTTGATTTTGGAAGAGTCAAAATCCGGGACAGTTGTTAATTAAGTTTTCCAAGTTTTTATGTTTAGAAAAATGGAAAGAAAAACGTCATTTATTGATGATTTTTTCGAATTTTGCGCATGCGTGTTTAAACGTTCTCCTGGCATTTTTTAGGTTAGTTGTTGGTTTTGATTTTGGAAGAGTCAAAATCCGGGACAGTTGTTAATTAAGTTTTCCAAGTTTTTATGTTTAGAAAAATGGAAACAAAAACGCCATTTATTGATGATTTTTTTCTAAAATGTGTCTCAAGCACCCAAAATTTTTTCTCGCCATTAATATGGGTCGGACACCCCATTTTTTGGGTTTTGGTAAACCCCTTGGTTTTCGGTCAAGCTAATTATTGAGCTGCAACAATAATTGCCGTTTTTTTTTAACAGCAAAGCCACAAGTCCTAATAAAATAAGAATAGCGTCCTTTTTTTCTTTTAATAATTATTTACTTTTCACAGGAAAATGGCTTGTAACAACGACACAAACAAAATAATTATTAAAATTTAAATGTCAAATTTGTCATAATTGTCAAACGAAAATTCCGTGCTGAAGTGGAAGTTTGCAGCTTGCAAGCTTTCAATCCAACTTCAACTTGCACTCTGGCGTCGAATTTTGTTGTGAATGAGTACACTGAAGTACATAAGATAAGCTTGCGTGCCAAAGTACGACTCGGCCAGCGAATTGATTTAGAATGTAGCTTGAGACTCACTCGGTATATTATTTTTTTATTAATTATGTTTATAAATAACTTTTTTTGCAGCAAATGATTCTTGAGGAATATGGCGAGTCGCATTACGACGCTTTCAATCAGCCCCACTTATATTTTCAAGTGCTCGCGTTGACGGGACAATTTGAAGCGGCCATCGAATTTTTAACTAGAATAGAAAGATTCAAAATCCATGCCGTACACATCGCCATTGCACTGAACGAATTGTATTTCTTGGCCGGACCGCATGACACTAGTGCGCCACTGAGTATGTATATTGACATTTTATAAAAAAAAATTGTGTGTGCACTATGTGCGCACATTTGAAGTGAAACTTCTTACTAATAGCACAGAATATCTAGCTACGCAAAAGTAGCGTCGTTACATGTATAAAATTGTAGGTATCAAAAGGAGACAGGCTTTTAAAGCCTGTCTCCAAATCAGATACTCTCTTTGAATAAGAAGACTAAGGAAGGAGCATTATGCTATCCATGTATTCATGCATGGTGGGCGGAAAAAGCACTCTATGGTGGTGATCCTTGACAGTTCTGTTTGACGATTCATTTGACACATTTGAATTTGATTTGAAATTTTCTTTACGGAGCTTATTTTATGTTATTTATTATTTATTCTACTACTGATAGTTGTATAAAGATAGTAAATCTAGATGGAAATTGTGGCAGAACTTAAATTAACAGTGACACTATCGCGATTTATCGAAAAAGACTCTAAAATAGTTGGTTGTGTAGCATGCGGTAGATCTCGGCAAAAATCGAGTGAAATAATGGAACAACTTTTCGCTAGTAAGTGACTATATAATATACATACGTGTAGTAAACCGATCATTTATGAAATTCACTTAAATTAACTAATTATATATGTTTTCCTGCATTTTTGCTTTTATTTACCACTTGTCAAAGATTAGATATCAAAGAATTTAAATACGTCAGTTTGATTTACCAGATTTACCTGCTTCAGTAGCGTATCGGATGTTTGTGTTAATAAATAATTATTATAACTTATCTATTTTTATTAGAATTATATATTTTTGTAACAATTTTTATAACTACCAACATTTATTCACAACGTCAAATAAAACAATATATATTGAGTCTACCCTACATCATAGTTTTACATTTTTTAAATAAAATTAGAACGGCACTGATAAACCGGAATTCAAGTCGGCCATATTTGAGGCCCATCGCGGTGGATCTAAGATTTTTGATATGCTCCTTGGTCTTCTTATTCAAAGGAAATTTTGATGCGGTAGTTTTGCTACTACATAATAGAGGGCGATAAATTTTTAAAAGAAAACAGTTTTCTATAAATGAAATATAAAAGAATTTTGTGCAGTGTTGCCATTGTGTAATTCATATTGTAATACTTCCTGATAAAGCCTACCTTCAAATTTACTACATCATTTAAACATATTAAAATAGATCAGAGCTTGTTTTTCAAACGTTTAAGTATTTAACTTGCCATGTTAGTTGGAGTTAAATCTTACGAGCTGAATTACAATCAGTTCCTAACGTTTGATTGTAATTGAATCCTGAATTTTGATTGTAATTCGGCGACAATATAATAAATATTGTTCTACTATTATGATACCACTTCTTTACGTTCAATTGTGTTCATGCTTTGTACCGTATGCTCAGGAAAAAAACGATGGCTATGAAATGAAGATCGCTGTCATTTTATATGGGAAATAGTATACCAACTCATATTGATACATCATATTGTGATACATGGCGTTCGATTGAGCTTAAACTTGGTATTCTACTTATCTTTAGTAACACTGTAATATACCATGGAGCATATACCATAGAGCATATAAAGTGGTACCTTCTATAGTACCATATTATGATACCACTTTATGACCTTCGAATGGGCTCATATTTGATATATACTTGCGTATTTTTGATAACATTGCAATATTATGGTACCATGAAGCCATGAAGCATATCAAGTAGTACCATACCATATTGTACCATATTAGATACATGGCGGTCGATAGGGCTTAAACTTGGTATACTACGTATCTTCGGTGACATTGTAATGTTATGGTACCATGGAGTATATAAAGTGGTACCTTCTGTAGTACCATATTATGTTACCACTTCCTGACGTTCGATTGGGCTCATATTTGATATATACTTGCCTATTTTTTATGACACTGCAATATTATGGTACCATGAAGCATATCAAGTAGTACCATAATATAGTACCATACTACATACATGGCGTTCGATTGGGCTTAAACTTGGTATACTACGTATCTTCGGTGACATTGTAATATGATGGTACTATGATGCATATAAAGTACCTTCTATAGTACCATATTATGATACCACTTCCGGACGTTCGATTGAGCTCATATTTGACATATAATTTCGTATTTTTGATGACATTGCAATATTATGATACCATGAACCATATCAAGTGGTACCATAATATAGTATCATATTACGTATATACATAGCGTTCGATTGGGCTTAAACTTGGTATACTACGTATCTTCGGTGACATTGTAATATTATGGTACCATGGAGCATATAAAGTGGTACCTTCTATAATACTACATGATGATACCACTTCCTGCCGTTCGATTGGGCTCGTATTTGATATATACTTGCGTATGTTTGATGACATTGCAATATTATGGTACCATGAAGCATATCAATAAGAGGTACCATAATGTAGTACCATATTACGATACCATTTCCTGGCGTTCGATTGGGTTTAAACTTGGTATACTACGGATCTTCGGTGACATTGCAATATTATGGTACCTTGAAGCATATCGAGTGGTACCATAATAGAGTACAATATTATGATATCATTTCCTGGATTTCGATTGGGCCCAAATTTGGTATACTTGCGTTTCTTTATAAAGATTTGTTTAATTAATAATTTTAATTTATTTTACAAATTTTAATTTATTGTACGATGTCGTGATAGCAACTTTTATGCCGATTATGACATTATTAATTGTACCTGTGTCACTTTTTAAAATCTACCTAGGTCTATATAAATAACGTGGCAAACAGAAGACATTTGTTATTATAGTATTTTTTTAGTCAATTGACATTTTTTGTACTGCATTTTAATAAATTATTGTCATTATTATTAAACTTATATTTCATTACTAACGTCATCAATCGCCCTGTATATTATTAATTTTAGAGGTAATTAAAGGTATTGTCTTAGTTAACAATATAAGGTAGTGTATATTAAATAATAATAATAAGTGTGTAATAATATACTTAAAACTATTTTAAAAGCCAAACGAATAATTAATTTAAGCAGATACGAGTATAAGTGTGTCTGATAAGAAAAGAAGAATAGAAAGAAACTATTATAGGTACCAAAGATTATACACCAGAAAAAGAATGGGATGCCAATTAAAGTATTTTTGAATCTGGCAACTGTGCATATTTAGCCGAGCTTCAAGGCCGTCGACGTGTCGTCGATCCAAAACCGAAAGTTCAGAATTTCCAATTATATTCTGATTATGATATTGTCGCGCCATCTAGTATTTTATTTGTACAATTTTAGCTCTTTCATTTCGAGTATTTTTCTGTTGCGTAGCTAGATATTCTGTGCTAACAGCTATTAAATTGAAGGATTTGAAAGAATTGAAGGATTTGATGGTTGAAAAAGTGTAGTTTGAAATGTTCAAAAAGTAATAAATTAAAAAAAAATACTTTTTGTGCTTAAAAATAGTTTTTTACATGTAATAAATAGTTCTTTGCGTATCACAGATAGTTTTATACGCGTAAAATGAAAAATTAATTAATAATTTCATTCTATATGTATTTCTAAGCCGTAGGCTGTCCTTACCACTTTTCGTCTCGCGCTTGTATGTCACGGCCTTGAATTTTTACTCTCAGGGTGCGTAAAGAAGTTCCACTTCAAAAATATCCGTTTGTGCAAGTATTATATTGTCACCCTGTATTTCTTTAGTTTTCATTGATCCAGCGGATCCGAAACCAGCGAGACGCCTAAATTTAGCCAGACTGATTATGATCCACGTGAAAAAATTCGAATTGAATTGCCCCAACGAAGCGTTACATTATTTCTACCATTTAAGATCTTATACCGATTCAAAAGGTAAGTAAACTGCATGAGCAAAAGAAAAAATGGCGTCAAGTTACCTACGTATCAACGTTTCGACTTTTCTGAGGTTATTTGACACCGTTTTTTTCCTTCCAATAACGAAATATAATCAAAAATAATACGTTTTTCAGGCGAAAGTCTATTTAAAGTTTGTGTAGCCGACCTGGCTATTGAAACAAAGGAATACGAGACGATTTTGGGTAAAGTGCAGCACAATGGAATCAGAACAAAGGGATTGGTCGATCAGTTTACTAATACAAATATTAGTGCCGATCAAATTGCTCAAATGGTGGGCGACAATCTGGTTAAAAAAGGGTTGTGTGAAGAAGCCATCGACATATATGACATTGCCAATGTAAGTGGAGTTGTAAAATGTACAGGGTGGACCATTTTGGTTGTTTCTATAGGGTATCTAGGAAACCGTAAGAAATATTCAAATTTTGATACTGCAGTCTCGGGTTCTTTTTTTGAAAAAATCACAATGCCGCAAACGGATCGTGGCTATCTTGATCGGTTTCGAAGCTACAGGGCGATTCTCAAATTTTGTACTTTTTGAATATGTTCGATAGTTTGTTTATTTCAGCAACTACGCAAAAATGAATTATACATTCTAAATGCACTTTTCTGTGTAGAATGCAGTGGCGTAGTCAGACTTTTTTCAAAAAAAATATTTTTTTAGATATAACTATACTTCTGTTTTTTTAAATAGAACCCCCTGTATATTTTTAAATTTCTTGATTCAGCTTGGCATGGGCTTCTCGAAAATATATAACACTCTATATTTATTTTCACTGTTAACCTCAACATTTCAAATTTTTCTTAAAGTATCCAGTTAGTATAGTAGGCCGCGCCGAGTAACAAAGTAAACGGTTGTCATGGTGATCGGTACATAGCTTTGATAGATGCGTGACATTTCATTTCAACAGATTGAAGTGTGTGTATTTTAAATAATAAAAAAATGAGTAAATTTTAAAATTTTGAGAAATATAACATGTTAGAATGTTATATTGAGTCTAACAAACATAAGCAAATGGCAGCTAATTTATATTTTGAGCGCTATTTTGAGCGCGAGCAACCAAACCCAGCCATTTTTAAAAGGTCAGAAAATAGTTTAATCCTAGCCACCTAGGTCACCTGATATCACTCTCTTAGACTTCTCTGGGGCTTTCTGAAAAACGAAATTTATCGAAATGCAAATGTATTAGAAGAGTTACAATATAGTTTTGTTGTGGCTTTGCAAAGTGTAACCAACATACACATTCGAAATGCTGTTAGTCTAATGAAATGCCCTAATCGTCTTTTTAATCATATCTCAATTTTTTCAAATGGAACGAGGGTGGCTCATTAGCATATTTGGAAAAAGCATTTTTTTTATGAATAATTTGATACCACATACTTGGTGAGTCAAATTTTCGTTACGAACCGCAAGTTATAATTTCAAATAAACCATATGCGAAAATGTCAAAAGTTGACATATGACATGTCATTCTATTCAGAGTGTTATTTTCTGTCGAATTAATGTAAAAAAATACTGAGGGTGCCATTGTAGGTGCCAAGATGTAGTCATTTCCGGTGAAACAGGAAGTGACCGAAAACATTTAAATACGTCAATCAATCCTAATTTATGTCATATTATACTAACACACCAAATCTCGTTTTTTTAACTGAAAAAATAAAAAAGTTATATGGGTGAGCCACTTTTGAGACGCACCCGGTATATATACCAGATATGACCATCGTATATAAAAAATATCCCGTATTAATTTTATATATAATCATATACAAAAATATCATGTGAATTATACAGATTGTTAACTGGACGGTTACTTATTGGGGAACAGAATGGCAACACTGCCTACATTCCAAATGAGTACTAAGCTAAGCTGCCGACTCGTCCCGTCGCGCGTCGCGTCGTCTCTCGACGAGCGGGCCGAGGTTGCCATATTTCAACCACAAAGCTCTTGCCGCGAGTAATAAACAAATTAACAACCTGTATACGATCACCACATATAAAAATATCATATGTAAATTATAGTATATGATGTCTATATACTTTTATTTTGTGTACCAAACAATATTTATGCAGAAACAAATAAAACTGCATATTGTATCTTTTTTTATATGTATTTATGCCAAAAAGCGCTGATAGGATGATTTTTTTCCAGAACCAAGAGGAAATTTTAAGTTTTCTGTGCACCATGTTGTCCCAGGTGGTTCAATCTGTAGGCGAACCTGATTCGCTGAGAAGCCGACTGAAGGATAGAGCTGTTCTTTTTGCCGATCGATTTTCCAGAGAAGGGTACAGATGTTCGGCAGCTCTGGTCGGATCGTTTTTGAAGCTGAAAGAATTGTTGACGTTTTTCGATTTATATCACGCCAAAGAATACCCGCAAGCCTTAAAAGTGAGTGTAAAATACCGTACGATCGAAAAAAACGGCGCCAAAGGCGGTTAGGGAAAAAATTATGTGTTCTCGAATTTTGAACTACACCATTTGAAAATAATTTTTATTCCATATCAAAATAAATTACAGCCTTCATACTGGCAGTAAGCGCCATTAAAAAATATATATTTTTATTTTAATTTAGTTTTTATTTTTTTTTTAGTTTTTTTATCTTTTCTAGTTTTTTTATCTTTTCTAGTTTTTTTTATTTTTTCTAGTTTTTTTTAGTCTTATAGTTTAAAGTCTTAGAGCTCAAACGCACTGACAGCCAGGTCGCAGCGACCTGGCCGACCAGATCTAACCATTTTTTACGTTTTACCAATTAGAAAATATTGTTTTCAGAAATGTTAAAATATCTAGTTAACTAAAAAGCGAGTTTGCTATTCAAGAGATCAATTCAATGTTCTAATATTATAAATAATGCATTTAAAATATTAATGTTAATTACAGTAGGGTAATTAGTAAAGTTTTCACACATTGTAAAGGAAGAGAAAGAGATTATACAGGGCAGATCAAAAAGAAGCTTTAAATATGCTTTTTTTATTCTTTACCATCGAAACTCGAAAGTATAATAACAGGTATCATACCAACCATAAATAGAGTACATCATATAAAAATGTTTTGAATTTTTACTATAGTCTGTCCAACGAAAAGATTCTTGACAGTGATAGATGTGTCTGTCATTTTAATTTCAAAGTAGTTTATTTTATTTTACAAAGAAATAAGTTGGTACGACTGGAACGCATAGCAGGAAATTAATATATGTATTTAAAATTTGACTGACAAGTAACTTCAAAATATTGTGAAAAAAACTGTACAAAACTGAAAAAATGTAATCGAGTTATTTTATTTAATACAAAACGGTATGTGTTAATACAAAACAAACAAAAACAAGACACCACATACCAAAAAATATAAAAAAGAACTATTTTTTACTTTCAAGCTTTGTGAAACTTCCAGCATTTATGATTATATTTATCAATATAATTTATGTACAAATACAAATTTGTAATATTCCGCAGGAATAAATAAAACTATTTTATTAATAACAACACCAAACCAAATTTTATACCTCACAGGTTGATTAATTAACTTTAATCTTAATTTTTTTAAACCAGTACCTTTTGACATTATTTTTCTGCAGTACTAAAATTCATTATTTACCTATCGTGTGATGTCGATATTTTACAGCTACTCCAGTTTTTAGTATGGGTTTAGTATGGTCCTTCTACCATATTCGAGATGCACTTATGTACGACGAGATGGTATACGAACTTTATTGATAGTAACTTTATTGGTGTAGTATCTGTTTAAGACTTTCTGCCTGAGCAGCGAGTATTAACCATAAACTCAAATAAACTCTGCTCTGGGTTCTACAGTTAATTTTCACTCGATTTTTCCTCCACTTGACTTCAAAAGACACAAAACACACGTAATAACACGAATCAAAATGCATCATCTTCCGAAACGCAGGGTATTTGACACATGTTGTCACAAAATTATAACCCATATTTGGCAAGATTTTGACAAACGTCAAAAATCTAAAGGCGAGTTCATACGCATCGGCGTCCGTTTGTTGTTCATCGCTCCGTCAAACCAATAAAATTGAAATACGATCTGTCATTTTTGAAATAAACCAATAAAACTGGTAAAAAACAACAAGTGACGACGCATGACGAATTTATATTTAAACCCATCCATAGTTAACTTAAAAATTATTAGAAACTTTTTTAGTAAAATAAATAGATTGGTATGGGACGTCATCTGCTTTTCTTCTGTCATCGTCTGTCGAAATCTTACCTGAGAAAAAAAACAGAGTATAGATTCGACCCTTCATTAAGAAAAAGACTAGATTTAAGTTTCCCTTTGATCTAGTCTGTATACTATTTCTTTGGTTTTTCTGCATGTGTGCAAAAATTACACTAAAACACTATATCTTATAGAAAATTTGGCGTTGAATTTGAAGGATATCATCTGAAAAATTATTAATTTGGAAGAAAAGCGGCAACAAGCGGCAGAAAATAATATTTTAGTGCAGTCTACTGGTCGCAGCGACCAGCCAATGGCCTGGTCGTTAATGCGCGTTGTATCATTAGATTTAATAGTATAACAGGTAGCATCTACGTGGTCGCTGCGACCTAGTCGTCACACGGTGTGGTATTTGACACAGATAGTTGATCGAAATTTTTTTATGTAGACCTTATATAAATTATTGCTAATTTCAATTAAAGAGGAAATAATATGAACAAAATAAAGGATAATTCGTCGATTCTAAAAAAAGAAAGAAAAATCGCTGTTCCAGTGTTTCCACGGACAATGCCACTAATGCCAGTAGTAATATCGCAACTAATACTACTAATGCTACGACTGATCTGCGAGCAATGCCCGTACCACTAAAGTCGCTACTAATGCCAAATTGTGTTATACTGCTAATGGCACTAATGCGATCGCTTTGTACACAACAATTCCATCGCGGTTTACACCTCGCATTAGTATATCACTGATTGGCAAATTAGAGGAAACAAGAATGTTTTTCTCATTTTATCAGCAAAGTCGCAAAAAGTCGCAGTATTTTATTTTACTGTATGAAAGCCCAATGTTTACTAAGTAAAACGTATATAGACAATATGCTGAATTCTTCGAAATGCGCAACTAAATCTCTAAGTATAATAAAAATGTCACAAATTTAATCAAATTTTCTGAACGCCTAACTTTTAGTTGCAAAAAAAATCGTTAGTATAGAGTATTATCAAAATAAATAATACGTTCTTGTAGAATACATACCTGCAGCTTGCTGAGCCATTTTCAATCAAAACAATAATATAAACGTAAAAAGAGCACAAGAACAAAAACAATTTATAATTTTAGACATAAAATTTTGCCATTTACCTCTTATCTGTGAGAAGTAACAACTTTGACGTATCATTTATCTTTTTTTGGGAAATCTTAAACACATTTGCTTTTTCGAATTTCGATCATCTTTTTCATACTAATACCCCACCGTGCGTCAGTGCGTTTGAGCCCTCTTAGATAGATATTGATACCCCTTTTTGCGAGTTGTTTATTTAGGAAAAAAATACGTATATATTTTTGTAGGTATTGAATGAGTTACAAATCATACCGTTCAATGCGGACGAAATAGTCGACCGAGTTAAGACGTTTAAAGCCTTGACAGCTGACGTTTGTAAGGTGATTCCCGACGTATTGCTAGCGACCATGAACATGCTGTTCGCTCAACATCAGCGAATCAAAGGCAATTCCGAATACATTCCCAGATATTCGGACGCGTCCGTCGACAACGTAAGAACGTCGATAAGGAAAAAAACGGCGTCGCTGTAACCTTTGAAAATCGGTTATTCTCGGTTCGAAGGCTACCGTGACGCCTTTTTTGTACACGATATACTTAAAAATCGGTTTATTTATTTTTAGCAACTAGCTTATTTAAGAGCACAAGCGAAAACGATTACAAGTTTTGCAGGGATGTTGCCCTACAGGATGCCGGGAGATACGAACAGTAGATTGGTACAGATGGAGATATTGATGCATTAATTTTAAGGTTTTTTTTTCTGTTAAATTTTCTAAGAAATAAATTTTTAAATGCCATCCAAGTCGTATTTTGTTACCAGAATGTCTTTGGAAAAGTCGATTCCTTTGCCTTCTTTCATCTAGAAAAATAACTTGAAAAAAACTATACAAATTAATTAGAACAAGTTGTTACGTTTTTGTAGTCTAGAATCATTTCCTTAAAAGTGCTGAAATTCCAGAAAGTTGACAACATTTCGAAAATCTCGCCGTCTAATTCTTTTTTTGATTTATTCCTAATAATAAAAGGAAACTTAATATTAAAATATATAGTTCTTCTCAAGCAATTTTGGCCTTTTGACATTTGACAGCAATATTAAAAACGATTTTAAAGTCTTACTAATCTGTGGACATATAAATAACTCATAAAAAAACTCATTATTTACCTAGGTTATTTCAGAGAGAACACTAATAACTAAAGTGAGAGAGACCGATCAACGTTAATTTTTGAAGACTGTGTTAGTGGCGCGGCCTTTGGCGTCTAACCCGAACTATGAGCGCATTATCGATATAGTAGGTTGCATTCATACCTATATACTGGCGCCAAAAATTTAAAATTTGTATATTTGAACCGAATCTTAATCTTTCAAGTTTATAATAAGAAATCTTCGTAGTTTTTTTAGATTATTTTGTTGACAACGAAAATTTATTATTAGATTTTAAAGCATTAAAACCTATAAATAAAATACTGTATAGGAAAGTAGGAACATAATAATTTATTTAACTCCATACTCCTTGCCATACTCCAACTCAAGGCTGCAATCTTCAATATCTTTTTTATCTAATTTGGTTGGGAGTGAACAGGGAAGCACGGTTGGGAGCTCGCACAGAGTATCAGTAGGTATCCCGTAGATATTCAATGTTTTTGATAGTCTTTATTCTATAACAAGAACATAGCAGTTGAAAAAAATAATTTGTATTACTGGAAATAATACTAGGTATAATACCTAGTCGTTCATGGGTATCAGAAAAGAATGTGATGTTTTAAATTAAAAAATTAAATTAGCAATGTACGATTATTATGTACACTCACTATTACTATTAGGTATGTTAAAATAATCGCGACCCAAAACTTTTGAAAATTTCGGAGCGGTTCGGCTTTTTCCGGAATTATATCGCCAAATATTGTTTATTCAAATTTATTATTATTTTCGTTTAATTTTATAAATAAAATACAGTGTGTTGCATACAAGAAACTTTATTTTATATAAGGACGCATGTATGAAATACCTATGAAACATTGGAAACCGACGTTATGCCACGATCCACGATGGTTTTGCAGTTCACAGTTCACAGCACAGCTTTTAAGTTTTTAATGCCACTTTTTCACAATTATCACCGGTTGGAGTAAATAAAACTTGAATTAAACTCACAAGATAGCAATAATTACTTTGAAAATGGACGCTATAAACACTTTTCGGGATTTCTTTAATGAGAGCGGTTTAGATTTTGAAAGATTATTATGATTTTTGAAGATTCTGACTTTGACAAGAGAAAATTATTTCTGTTTTTGTTTGCCGTTGTTCTTGCGACCGCTATAGCAGCGCCAGATCGCGTATAACGGTCGCACAAACGGTCGTGACCCAAAATAATTTCGCGACCCAAAATTTTTACGGGCTTTCCCATCTAAACTTGTTGCATTTATCTATGCAATAATCTTCTCTTCTGACAAGCTAAAAGAACAGGCACATTCAGTCAAAAGCAATTTATTACTCCGAATATGAACAGATTTTAGTTATCTCCTTCTAGAGCTAAGAAATAGAAAAAGCTACTGACAATCTAATTAATCCTGTTAAATGTTTAACTTATTAATCCTAATCCTATATATATGTTTAACTTATTAATCCTTATCCTGTTAAATGTTTAAACTTCCTTTTTTGACCGCCTAAACGCTATGCGCGTCTGGGATGCGCGGTGACAAAGTAAACTTGTCTACGAAATGCCCTATTCCACAAGACTTGTGTCTAGCCCTCTAGCCCTAGCAGGCAACTATTAAGCCCGACCAATCACGTTAGAGTTTTTGACAAATACAAATGAATTAACACACTTCAAATAACCACGCTAACCAACCTGATTGGTCAAACTTAAAAGTTGACTGCTAGGGCTAGACACTTCTTTCCACAAGCCCTCTCACTTTAGTTATTAGTTTCTCTCTGGGTTATTTACACTTAAAAAACAAGATTTTAAAATACGTTTTTTTGGTTCGCCAATCCCTGGTTTAAAAGCTCGCCTCTAGCCACGCATATTGCGAAAAGTTACTTGAGAAGAACTATAGTTTAATTGCATTTACAACAATACTTACTTTAACAAATTTTCTAATATCTGCATCTCAAACCCAGGTATTTCTTTAACTAACTCTTGCTCAATAAATCTCTCGACGGTTTCCAAATATTTCTTGAATATATCGGTATAAATCAATTTATTTTCATCGTCTCTTACGAATTCCCTATAGTAGGTCTCTAAAAACGTGTTTTGGACTCTCATAAATTTATCGCTAATAATTATATTCTCTATGCATCCAACAATATCGGCAAAAGATTTTTCTGGGCCTTCTGTATCGACAGAAAAAAACGAAATTTCGTGTTCGTTTTGATCGACGCTTTTAGTCATTTCACCTGAAAGAAAATAGTTTAAAATATATCAGTTATAAATCATAAAATTATACATTTTGTAGCTGCCATTTTTCGATTAACTACTAGGAATTTTAATGATTAAACATTTCAAAATGGCAATGGTCTCGTTACCATGGAAACAATAGATTCCAAATAATTAATTTGTCAGGTATAAATGAAACTAAATCTAAATACCTACAAATTAAAATCTTTAAACGAAAATATAGATTAATTTATTTAAATCTTTAATATATTCAAAAAATGCGGCAAAATTTAAATAAAATTTGAGAAATCCATTCAGAGTATGTCCGTCTTTATTCATTCGCATGAATTAAAGAGAGACCGATATATTCACGGCATTATCCTGTCAAATAAAAATTGCCATTTCTGACTTGGACCAATCAGCTGACACCACGAGTGGCTGGTTATGAAGGACTGATATAGTCCCGAATTTTCAAAATTTTAATATGAGTATTGTTCAAACATTTCCAGAAAATGGTAAATCCAGGTATATTGTATAGTGTCCTAGATAATATGCATCATAGCATTTGGTTAACGTTCGCACCTTATCTGGCATTTATTGCATTCGAAGCTTTAATACATGGTGAGTTTGATTTTTATCATAGGTTTGCAGAATATTTAAAACAAACTGATTTTATTTATAAGCACCGTATTGAGACTGAAAATGATAATACAGTATGCCTAATTAAAACAGTAAGAATTCGAGATAATAACATAGGGTTAATATTTAAAATCATATGTAACTTACTAGCAAAAATTTCAAAAGGACCTACAAAAGATAAATATTTCGAAGGAACTAATATACCTATCATTTTAGCTTCGGAAGGCTTGTCGCAGAGTGAAATAGACAAACATTTACAATTAGGAAAGGAATATTTATCCAAAGGACAACTAGCTGATGCTTTAACTCATTATCACTCAGCTGTGGGTATGTATACTTATTATTTTCCTAAATTATCTGTTGTGTATTTCTCATATTTTTCCCTTATAGATGGTGATCCGACAAACTATCTGACATATTTCAAAAGAGGCACCGTATATCTAGCTTTAGGAAAATCAAAAAACGCTCTGGGAGATTTCGATAAGGTTATCGAATTAAAACCGGATTTTGTAGCTGCCAGAATTAACAGGGGACAGTTATATCTTAAGCAAGCGGATTATGATCTTGCCCAGTTAGATTTTTATAATGTTGTAAGTATTTTTATCTTCTATATCTATATATGTGAGGTCATATTGGGTATATCATTTTTGTTCTAGTTAAAAATAGATCCGTATAATGTGGAGGCCAATGATCTTCTTCAAAAAATTGATCCTGCAAAAGAACGGAAAAGGAGTGCAGAGTATTATTATGGACATGACGATTATAACAGTGCCATACACTATTTGTCTGAAGCCATTGAAGTGAGTCCGTGGGCGACAGATTTGTACAAATTTCGGTCTGAATTGCATTTAAAGCTCGGCGATGATATGGCAGCCATATCAGACATTAGGTGGGCATAGTTGCATTCAAACAATTTTCTCTATTACTATAGTGCTTTCTCCATATTTTAGAACTGCAACAAAATTAGGCAATGACAATACAGACGATTTCTTGGAGCTGTCCCAGATGTTGTACAAGGTGGGACATGCTACAGATTCGCTGAAAGCCATAAGAGAATGTTTGAAATTGGACCCCGAACATAAAAACTGTTTTGCTTTTTACAAGAAAATAAAAAATGTGGTGAAGTACTTAACTGATGCGGATTTGGCGAATGAAAATAAAGAATATGTGAGGTGTATAGAGAGTGCTAATAAGGTATGTAATTTTTTATATTGTATGATTGAAAAAACGGCGTTTTATCTTAGCAAACGCATACATTAATCACATGATATGTTTTTGAGGACTTTTTGACCTTGTTTCGTTAATATGATAGTATTCTAGCTTTATTATTATATTAATTTTATGTTTTTTTAATTTTTATTAAAAAACGATAATTCTATCACTCGGTTGGATAGTCTGGCAGCTGTGGCCATTAAACCAAAATACTACTACATCTTTATCATTGACTACTATAGTCTATAAAATGAATAACTTTGAATTTTGACCGTTATTTTTTACCAACATGGCAAATATAAAATCCCTCTATCAAAAAAGTTACTGATATTCTTTAAATTGAGTGCCTGAATGAATCAGATAGGTAACTCTTTTTACTTTCGTGAAATAGAAAAGGAAAATAATAAAACAAGTGACAGTTCTTCCTCTTCTTGCAAAAATCAACACGAAATGTCATAATTGACAAAAGTAAAATGTCATCAGCTTTTGACATTTCAAAATATTAGACCAATGCCGTCTCTAATAGAACAGCCTCGGAGCAAGATTTATGACGTCACGCTAGTTGATACTACGGATTAATAAATATGTTGGAGAATACATGGAAACATAATTACTTCTCGTATTTTTGGTTTGTATTTTAAAAATGATATAGTTTACTTAAAATATACATAATATACAGTTAATAAATACAATATAATATATGCATATTTATAGTAATAAATACTTTGGCAAATAAACTATGAACCACACAAATGCAGCAAATGTTTTACAATATACAAATAATGAATAGGTGGTACATAAGATAATGGGTAAAATGCAAAATATATTTTAAATTTTGGGGTTCGAAAATCGATCTAATTTAACAAAAAACATTCAATATCTACTAATAGTGATGTATTATTATTTGCATTCACAAAATTTATTTATATATTATAATGTTTACTGCAATTAATAAACTAATATAAACTTGTCAAAAGATGACCACATATTTTTTTAAATTGTTATTCTTAACACAAAAACTATCTACATTGACTACTAGTACGATTTTAGCCATATTGTAAAACATTTGCTGCATTTGTATGGTTCATAGTTTATCGGCCAAAGTATTTATTACTATAAATAGGTATATATATTGTATTTATTAACTGTATATTATGTATATTTCATGTAAACTATATCATTTTTAAAATACAAACCAAAAATACGAGGAATAATTATGTTTTCCATGTATTCTACAACATATTTATTAATCTGTAGTATCTAACTAGCGTGACGTCATAAATCTCGTTCCGAGGCTGTTCTATTAGAGACGGCATTGCGTCAGCATGGCCGCAAGTTGCTAACCTAATAAAATTAACACTAGAAAAGCCCGCGGGAACTGTCAAATTCAAAGTTATTCGTTTTACAGACTATACTAACTGCTACTTACCAACAATTTGTTTTGTGTGGTCTGTTTTTGTTTAAATGTTTTCTTCATTATTCATGTTGGCGATTTATATTTAAAAAATAATGTTGTTAATGTTAGTCGTTAGGCAAACTCATAGAATATGATTATGGATATGGTATTTCTTTTCCATAATCAAAATGGTCACTCTAAATTTTGTATAACCAAATTGTCACTCTACATAGTAGCTGTCTTTTTTAGACAAATGTTACTTGTCATTATTTAATTCATTATTTAAATTCTCAGAATGTTGTTAACAAAAAAATTTCATCTTAAAATAAAATTTTAATCAATCACAATTGTTTATCTCCATAATTTGCCGGATTAATAATACAGAAATTACAGTTCAATTACAAACAATTTATTATTTATAGCGATTTACAGTAATTTTATTAAATTATATATTCTCGTTGAACACTCGTTCTACATTTCTTTCCCCATGCGGAAATATTCGTGATTTTTTTTTACTTTTAGTCTTGAAACGTGCGTTACTTTAAATCAATCAGCAAAAAAAAACCGTCCGTTACAACCATTACAATAAGATTATTTTTTTAGGTTTTAAAACAGGAAAAAGAAATCCAGCCAATAATTTTCGAAGCAAATCGTTTTTTGTGCTCATGCTACGTGAACACTGAGCAATCGGAAGAGGCGATCTCTGCCTGCTCCGACGCTCTACAAATCAACGAAGAATCGAACGTTTACTGTGATAGAGCCGAGGCATACCTTCAAACGGAAATGTACGATGACGCGATCAGAGACTACAGAGCTGCTCTGGAAATCGACAGGCATTTGGATAGAGCCAAGGAGGGTTTAAATAAGGCGGAAAACAGGCAGAAACAGGCCGAGAAGAGGGATTACTATAAGATACTGGACGTGAAAAGGACGGCGACCAAAAAAGAGATCGTTAAGGCTTATAGGAAAGCGGCTCAAAAATGGCATCCGGACAATTATCAGACGGACGAGAAAATGAAGAAAATTGCCGAGAAAAAGTTCATTGATATAGCAGCGGCTAAAGAAGTAAGTGATTTAACTATAGGAAAATCCAAATACATCTAATTTCAATACATTTTAAAATTTTCATGTATTTTAAAGTTTTGTATACAGGGTGGTTCGAACTGTATTACTGTACGTCATATATGTCATCGAGCACGTGCGTTGATTGTAGACAGCATTGTTGCCAGATTGTAATCGGAAGAGAAATATTTTTCAAAAATTTGCTATAGATCTATTAAAAATTCTAAAATAAACTTTAAATTGTTAACAGTTTTAAATAGTTTCAAGCAGCGCTGAAAAACAATATTTTTAAACAAAACATGTTTTTTTATTGTTTAAATTTGTTTTTATGGTTTTAAAGAACATTGTAAATACAAAGTCGAAAATATGTTTACAACACTTTTATACTGTTTTAAACATAGACTTAAAATAAAATATAGACTACACTATTTACATCTCAACGCGGTCAAACAATCTTTTTTGTACACATGTTTACTTCTGGGTACAGTCGACCGAGCCTTCCTCATTAAGCCTATGTTGTCACGTCTTTAATATTACCAATATTTTTTTTCTTGTTATACACATATATTGAGATACTAATACTACAGTTTAATAAAGTAGGTTTTAATATTCCATAGATGTATTAAATAGTCCTTATACTACTAAATTATAAGTCGGATACTGTTTAAAAAGGATAAGTTCTTTACAATATGACAACACCGATTAGAGGCGAGGGAGCCTATTCATTCATTTATTACCTTTGTTGCCGCTATGTCCCCGGCTGTATTAACGCATTTTCTTAGCTTGTAGTCCTTAAGTGTTTATTTTATTTACTTTTTCTGTTCAAGAACTATAAAATATGGTTCGCCAGTGCCAAATTTGCAAGAAATTTGATTTAAATAATCCATTTAAGTCTCGAAACGACTTTCGACCGGTAGGCAACTCTCAATTTACCCATTAGGAGTCAGTGGCGTTGTTGTAGAAATGCGCTTATTTAGATAATATTTTAGAAAAATGTAAAATCTGAATTTTTTCTCTTACATTACATTATTTACTTACTTACATTGTATCAATATCATAATTATAACCCTGTTAATAATTAATAATGTTTTTATTAAAAATATATTCCGGTTTATTCTAAAATTATCTTCAGAATCTAAAATAACATACAAGAATTTTAAAATGATATTACATTATGAAACAATATTTTTTAATATACCGGGTCATCTCAAAAGTGGCTCACCCCCTATAACTTTTTTATTTTTTCAGATAAAAAAAAACAGATTTGTGTGTTAGTAGGTATATGACATAAATTAGGATTTATTGACGTATTCAATTGTTTTTGGTCTCTTCCTTTTTCACCGAAATGATTACATCGTTTGATTTTTAAAGGCACCCTCGGTATATTGCTACTTTTTGATAAAATATGACACTCTGAATAGAATGACATATCATATGTCAACTTTTGGCATTGTCGCTTAAAAACAAATCGTATTTTAAATTTCAATCCAGGGTGCCACGGTGTTGTTAAAAACACTAAGTTTTAATCAAGGAGCCTTGGAAAAATAGTTTTGATCGTCTAATGGGTTTCGTGTCTTGTCTAGGCCGATTAAAAGATGTACAAATCGTATTTTTAATCATACATATGTCAATTTTTTCAAATGGAACAAGGGTGACTCATTAGCATATTTGGAAAAAGCATTTTTTTATGAATATATTGATACCACACACTTGGTATTTCGAGTCAAATTGTCGTTATGAACCGCGTGTTACAATTACAATTAAACCATATGCGAAAATGTCAAAAGTTGACATATGATATGTCATTCTATTCAGAGTGTCATTTTCTATCGAATAAAGTAGAAATATACCGAGGGTGCCGTTTAAAAATGAAAAGTTATAGTCATTTCCGGTGAAACAGGAAGTGACCAAAAACAATTGAATGCGTCAATCAATCCTAATTTATGTCATATACTAACATACTAAATCTTGTTTTTTTATTTGAAAATATAAAAAAATTATGGGGATGAGCCACTTTTGGGACGCACCCGGTATAATAAAGACAGTACCGAGTTAAATAAATGTAGTTTTCATTTTATCCACTTCCTATCATCTTCCTTGCTTTAATGAAACATTTATGTTTTCTCTAATTTACGTAATAAGACATCACTTAATCAGAAAAAAAAATTACAACAATCATATTTTTTTTTCTCTTCCTGTCACCGATTCTATTATATCTGTGGAATAGATCCTGTTTTGATTAATATTAGGGGTTGTAAATGTTTGACTTAAATTAATAATTTATTATTAATTTCAAAAATTACGTAATTTCGATTATAAAATTTCTTCTATAACGTGTATTTTATTATTTTTATCCTTTTTGGAATCTAATACGTTTTTTCTAAACTTTTATTCAAAAAACCTGTCCTAAATCTTAATAAAATATAAAAAAGTTTAAATACGATATATTTTTAATTTAATTATAGCTTCATTAAAATAAAAAAATTACCCGGCTATGATACGGAGAGTTCAGGTGTACTTGAGAAACGAAAGACAGTGTTGTGTTCCTCGTCAGAGTCGTCAGGGAACGACCGTTACGACAGAGACAACCTATCTATCGCTCGTGTCGCACTCGTTATAACCTAAAACAATAACACAACAATAACAAGACATTGTCTGACCGCATGTTCCAGCTATTTATAAATGAGATGCTCAGTCTATATTTTATTTTAAGTCTATGGTTTTAAACCATATCATGTTGAGTAATGATAAAGCCAAAGGACAAAACTTAATTCGATTTTAGAAACCTTAATGGTGCTCCTCCAAGTAGTAGTACAGAATTAGTAGTTTATTTAGACGATATTAAGTTGAGCTGATTACTGTTCTGATTCCTTTTGTATTATAGTTGTTTTTATTTTGAACGAGTTTTTCTCATTTTTTATTGAAATAAACACCTACACTAAACCTATTTAATACTCTGTTTTAAACAAATATTTAAAACAAGTAATGGTGTCTTAAAAACATTGTTTTAAACATTTTGTTTAATTAATAAACAGTCTGGGTTTTGTGGAAATAACAATTGTTGTTGAATAATTGTGGAAATAATTCAAAAAATTGTTCTTTGAGTCTTTTTAGATTTCCATCGGATGTAAATCGGCAAGCTGATAGTAGTTATCAATTAACATTTAATTATATTTGTTTATTTTAGAAGCTGAGATATTATGTAATTAGTTAAATGTTATTATTTTTTTTAGCATGTGTGCAGATTTTAAAAATAGTTTTTTAGATATACAGGTTGTCTAAAATATGCGCATAAAATATTTTTTGGTCAGGGGATTTTCCATAAAATTTTCACTCCAATAATAATTTACGAGATAATTTATATAAATTGATTTTTGAAACAATTTTAGAGTAAATATTTTGTACATCTATAGTCTCCGCAAATTATTCATATTTTTTAATTGAAAGAATTTTATAATAGCATAATCTCTTATAAATTTAGTGGACTGTATTTTTTTATGTTTTTTTTTATTTATTTTTTATTATAAGTGGTCGTAATATAACAATATTCAAAATATTATAGACAAAATATTGAGTTTATATTTGAGGGAAGAAAAGTGCCACACCTAGCTTTAAACCACCGTAAATATACAGGGTGGCCCATTAGTGCGAGGAAGTCCAATATCGTCGTCGTTGTCGAAGATGTGAAAAAAGTTTATTCATATGTTTCAAGGTTTATAAAGGGGTGTATCCTAAAATATTTTGTTATATACAGGGTGTCACAAAAAAAGTTATGGTAAAGTTAGTTTGATTTTTTTTATTATTTTACATCATTCTATATACATTATTCTATATTGGGTATTTTTATGGCGTCACCAAAATCGCAATATTTAAAATGGTATATCTCAACTTTTTTAAATGCGACATTCTGTATATTATTTTTCTGTCAGATGCAGAATTAAAAAGTGAACATTTTTTTATTAATTTAAAGTGTTTCTAAATTTTTACCGCTGTCGCAGATATTCGCAGTATTATATTACATATGGCTCTTTCAACAGTAATTTTTTTTCAAAGCCACCTAATATGATCTTTGCCTATCTTGTCTTGTCAAAAAATGTTCACCTTTTAATTCTACATCTGAAAGAAAAATAATATACAAGGTGTTGCATTTAAAAAAAAATGAGATACAACATTTTTTAAATATTACTATTATAAATATTTTATATTATATTTTATATATTACTATTAATAAATAATAATAAGATAAAGTAAATTTTTCTACACGAATTTATTCCGATATCCTTCATGTTTAAGAAAACATAGCAAAGTATTAATAAAGTTATATTCACTCTAGTTTTTTACCACTTTTCCTATATAATGTTTTTAACCAAAGTTTTAGTAAATAAGAAATAGATTGGCAACACCGCAGTGTGCTTTAAATAAAGACAGTGTACTATAGCATAATTTTATGCCGAATCCAGTTATCTACAGAAAATTAAACTTTCTTTAAATAAAAAAAAGTCGTAGAAAATCTCTGAAATAGATAATAATATAAAAATATGTCATTATATATTTTTTCCGCATTTCTTCCCATCAGAAGATTTTCAGATACAGAAGAATTGTTACCTACACGAAATGTGAAAATATTCTGTTTTCAAGCAAGTTTTTACTCGATGATCATTTTTTTTATTTTATTTTATTGTGAACTCATATTTTCCTAAATACATATCTGTGAAACTATGGCGAGTGCTACGTCTATCCTTTGCCTAGTTAATAGACCACGACTATACAGCTACGTCGTCGGCTACGGAGGCGAGAACAAGGTCATATAAAGTGGCAGAAAAAGAACAAAGGATTTGACAAGCAGTAAAACTACTAGTTTCCTTATACTATGTCTCAACTAACGTTCAGAAAATTCTGGCAAATGTCAAATAAACGTGGCACCGCTGCAACCGCTTCCTCGCCGTTGCCAACACAATATCGAGTGGGAGATTTAAAACTCATTGAAAACGTCCCATAAGCGCCATATTTGTGTAGTGGTAGCACTGCATACATTTTTGGTCCTATTCTAAGAGAAAAACTAAATATGGATGTATGTCCTAAATATCTTAATTTCTGAGATATGGGGTGGTAAAATATTCTAAAAAAACTTTTTTCCCAATAACTCTGATTTTATAATAGATATATTTATGAAACTTAATACACGACTTCTATGCATCAAAATACATAAATAATTTTTTGGTATACAAAGAATTGTATTTACTTCAACCAGTGTCGTCCATAAATTATTTCTGCATCGACTGGAAGGAAATTAAGAAATAAAAGGTATTTTTTGTTAATCAAAATATGCATTTTGATGCATTGCAGGACAATTTGTCAGTATTTTTTTATTTTGTCAATATTGCAGGACAATTTGACTGGAAATACCAAGTATGTGGTACCAAATTATTTGTGAAAAAATGCTTTTTCCAATTATGTTAATGAACCACCCTTGTTCCATTTGAAAAAATTGAGATATAATTAAAAATACGATTTGGGCATCTTTTAACCGGCCAGGACAAGACTCGAAACTTCGAGTTCCGGGCTTTACGCCCTGGGGCTACTCGAGAACGGTTCTGAAAGGAGCTGTGCGCGATAGCCTCGTGCCGCCATATAGCGCGGAACAGTTCTGGATCGCGTAAGAACGCGATACTCCCAAATCAAGAGAACAGTTCAGAGCTGCTCAACTGCGTGAAAGGAGGACAGCAAATGTCTGACTGAATAGAACAATGAAGTGAAAATTTAAGATTTAAGGTTATGGTTCAATGCAGTTGCAAAAAGGTAGTGGCTCGACGTCCTACCAACGTAAGAATAAGGAAATCTAAACAACGTTGGAATTAGTAAAACAGACGACGTTTGCATAACGTTGGAATAGGTCCTAAAAGTGACGTCGGAAAACTCTTTATTGCCCAACATTGTAACTACGTTGTCCGAATCGCCTAAGATCGCTTAAGCAAAAAAGGTTACAACACAACGTTTATTCGACGTCGCAGAAGCTTTTACTTTGTTCTAGTACTAGTTCAAGGTCGGCACAACGTTACAACAACGTTTACATTTATTTTAATGCCCAAGGTACGGAGCTAACTATTTTTTGTAACTACTCCAACGTTGTGTTTGGGTAGTGTTTTACTTGGGTAGTTTTATACAGATAGGGACGAAAAGTTATTACTCTTCAAAACAGTTAAAACACATGTAGATGGCGCCCCTTACAAATAGGAGACATATTGACATCAAAATCAAATTTCTCATGTCAAAAAACTCCCAGACGCCAATTTTCATCCAAATATTGACGTTACTTCAGAAATTATTTGGAAAAAATCAAAATAAAAATGAAACTTCTACACCCTGTATCTCCGAAACTAACCATTTTAGGACATACATTTATACGAACTTTTTTACTTATTTTTATCTGAAGAATATGCTGCCGAAATTTCCGGAATACAGTTCGGACCACCCTGTATATTCATATTTATGTACTCTACTCTCCGTAAGAATATCTTTTCTCAGTACCTGATTTTTTTTCTGATTTTCAGGTTTTGACAGACGAAGAAAAACGAAGACAGTACGACAATGGTGAGGATCCGTTGGATCCAGAGTCGGGGAAAAACCCGAACATGCACGCCAATTTCCATAATTTCCAGGGTTTCCACGGGAGTCCGTTTCAATTTAGGTTCCATTTTAACTAGTTTGTACGAATTAAAGTGATGATTTTTTGCCGAATGTAGACTATATGAACGCTTGGAGTGAATGCGACGGTTGATTTACTATGGAATGTTACGCCACTGATACGTATTTATGTATAAAGTGTATTTATTCTTGTTTTATAGTTTTGTAATGATACATAATTATGGTAATGTATAAAATAAAATATGAACTGAATTTACCCTATATATAAAAATTGTACATAAATTAATAAAATATATTGAAATTTGTTTTTTGTGTGTTCTTATACCTTTTTTCCCAAATATAAATTACTATAGAACCTTTACCATACCTCTTTTCTTAAATATAAATCACTAACCAACTGTGACGTTCTTTTTTTTTCGATGCTATAGTGCCGTATGATAATTAAAAAAACGCCGAGTTGGCTTGGTAATGGCGATCAATGATATTCCCGTTTTATTTTTGATTGTATAGTATAAGTATACGTACCGTATGATCGAAAAAAGAGGCGTCAAATAGGCATGGAAATGTCTATCAATGATTTTCCTCATTTGTTTTCGATGATATAGTAACGCATTGTCGAAAAAAGCCGTCAAGTTGTCTTAGATCACAATAACGACCATGATACCTATTCCCCATTTTTTTAATCGATTCTATAGTACTGTATGATTGAAAAAAAGGCGTCAAGTTGGCTTGTCTAAATAGCGATGAATGATATTTCCATTTTTTCCGATTCTATAGTATGTTTGATCTTTGAATCGATGTTCAATAATCCCTATCCCCATAGATTTCTTTATGCTTCTGAAGGCGTCAAGTTGGCTTAGAAATGCAGATCCTCATATAATTTTTCATATAAAATTACAGCAATCTTCATTTCTAAGATAACTCTGAACCCTTTTTTTACGATAATCTGATTTATGTACCAATTTTACCTAAATATTTAGTAGGTAGGTGTAATTAAAACTTGGTCATATAACTAGATATATTTTAAATTTAAATAAAGACAGATATATTTTAAAGTTTTTTTTCCTGTCATAATAAATAATTTACATTACTTTTTTATTTGTCTAGGCTTTAAATTACTACATACTTAATGTAAGCCAAAGTATAATTAGAAGTATTTAAAAAAACTTAATAATTTACCTACTTATGTTTAAAACCTGTGGTGAACAATTTTGGATTTTTTTATGAATAAATAACATAGCAATATTCCAAATTTATTTAACGAGTTTTTTTATTAATTATTATACATATATACAGGGTGGCGCACCTCATTCACCTCGGTTGATTATACGAAAACGGAAAGATGTAGAAACAACCCATACAGCACATCAAATCACATTTACGATGTGTTTACATTATTAGATGTAGACACAGGGTGACACAATTCCCCCGATGTAAATATGCTACGTTTACACATTGTAGTTCAACACGTATGCACAAAGTTTAAACGTCCGCCTCACAATGTAGCCACAGTATAGCATTTACGTATACACAAAGTAAGGGATACACAGTGTGCCGTAGGATACACAGTGCTTGTGTATTACGTTTAAACTATGTTTACACATTGCAGCTGTGACTACCGCGTGTATACGTATGTATTTTGCTTCGTATATACATCTTGTGCTAGATAAAACTACTTCTTATGAACGAATTTAGGAAATAATACAAGTTTTGATGCCTAACTTTTCGTTTTTTTCAAGAAATATATATTCAATGATACCAATTATATTTTTTAGAACGAAAATTCTTAGTTAACCAGTCTAAACACTGGTATATCGCCACGATTTGGTGGACCTCGTTTAGTCATTTTTTTCTCCTCTTTTCCCTCCAAGCAGTTAGTTTATTAGCATACTCATTCATCGAGAACTCTGTTGGACTTTGTCGTATTTTATTTCCAAATTAACAATCTCACCTTTAAATTTTATATGAAACCGATTATTGAATATTAAACATATCTTTATATTGATCCATCAATAACTTACCGAATATCATTGTAAGAATTTCTTTGAAGTGTTTAAATCTTTCTTTCTCTGGTCCATTTAGATTTTTTTTATTTCCAAATTAAAAAAAATATATCGCTGAGCTAACTCAGCTAACCTATCTTTATCATTATACGAGAATATTTGGAGTTTTCATTCATTGGAGTCAAAATTTGGTAAATTGGGTATCGAGTAAGGAAAGAGTCGCTGCTATAATATTAATAATACTCTTAGGAAGGTGTAACAAAGTAATTAAAAACGTGTACTTAACTTAAAATCTCTTTTAAACTACACACAAGCAGAACATTGATATAGAGCTTCCGAATGATAAAACAATAATGGTTGCTAACACATACCACTCCTAGAAAGAAGAAAGGAGAGAGGACACATAAGATACACTTGGTCGGTGTGAGCCACTGAGGCTATCCGCGCATGTGCACACCTTCATTTCATGCTAGAATGTAGACACAACAGTACACTATTACAAAGTGTCTATATAGATATTTATATTATGTGTACACGTCACATTTTTACAAGGTGTGTACTATAGGCACAACTATGATACGAAGTATCACACATACATATGACTTATACATTGTATGTCTGATATACTGACGTCAGATTTGATCATTTTAATAATTATTTGTTACGTTACAAAAAACTCTTTAGAATCTTGAGTGCATACGTTATACAACTAGTAAACACTGTATCACACAATTATATCAATATAAACCTGCGTGTATCTCATATGTATATGTTAGAACTAGATGAACACTTACGTTCACTTTAACATATGTTGTTTCTCATGTGTCTCCCTTGTAGAAATGTAATTTCATTTGGACGTGCTATATGGGAAAATATTTTAATAACTCACAAAATAATATCACTAGTAATATATCTATTCGTTCCGCCAGCAGATACTGCTTTATTTTTCTTGATGAAGTAATGAATACTTACTTATTAAACTATTGTAAGTAAACTTAAGTAAACTGTTATAAATTATAAATAATAATGTCCATAAACTACTAATGTCGACTTTGAAAATAGTTACTAACTGTCACTAGAAAATTGCCATGGCGACACCAGCCATCTTGATTGCAATTTTATTTAAAAATCGCTTTTTATTCAAAATCTGAGCTAGATAGGTATAGGAAACCCAAATATAGTTTGAAAGAGCATTTGAATCTGCTTCGATTTATTTAAAAAAATACAGGGTATTGCATTTGAAATAACGAAGTTTTTATATAAAATATATCCTTAAAATAGATCAGCAACTTTTGTTAGCCCTGTATAAATTTAAGGAACCAATATCATTTTTCAGTAAAGTTTATGTCTCTACCTTTAAACTCAGCATAAGAATTAATTCTGAAAAGTAATGTACAGGGTGTTAATAGTCTATTCTATTGTAGCATGCAAATTTAAATATCTTTAAATATCTCAAAAACTAAAAATTTTCAACATATTTAACCCTTATAATAAATGCCTTTTTTGGACCCAAGAATCCAAAAATGAAATAAAATACCGGGTGTTGCATAAGAAAAAATATAACTTTGGTATGGATCTTAGTTCTGAAACACCCTGTATATTTCAAAATAATTTTAAATTGCGCACATTGTCTCCCTACATATACCCATAAAATATTTTGTTTCTACATCTTTCCGTTTTCGTATAATCAACCGAGGCGAATGAGGGGCGCCACCCTGTATATATAGTATTGTACACATTGGTCGAATGTTTTCTTCTTTGGATAAAGGTGCTGGCATTCTAGAATATGATTGAGTTTTTTCCATAAGTACTGCATGCTAATTTAATTCTTCTATCGATTTCTGGTAGTAAAGATCCCGAGTATATAATCCATTTATAAATACCGTATGATCGAAAAAAAACGGCGTCCAGTTGGCTGGGAAATGAACATCAATGACATTTCCCATATAAATTTACATATAAAATGACAGCGATCTTCATTCCATAGCCATCGCTGACGCCGTTTTTTCTCGATCATACGGTACTTAGTGTTAATGTCAGTTTTTAGTAAATAACGTCTACAGATTGACCTAGCCAAAATTATCACACCGAGGGAGTAACACCCTATAGCTGTCGTTGACGCCGTTTTTTTTTATAAGTTCCGGACATATAATAAAAAATTATAAACTGTCCTAATTAATTAAAATTTATTTTTTATAGTTTTTTTTCAGTAACAAAAAGCAATAACCTGACATGAAATATTTTATTTCCATTTTGAATTATTACATATTTAACCCAAAACAAATCTATAATTAGTAGTAATTTGTATAAATTAATATGTACACGAGTAGATATTTTAGGTGTGATTTCCGCATAAAAAATACGTAATTATTTGCTTAGACATTTTTGATGTTTTTTTTTTTCTAATAGGCGTAGTTGCATCACAGAAAACATTTAAATACATAGATGTACTTTTTTATCCCTGAGTACTTACTACAAGATTTATCTTTGTGATAATATGATCGATTAATTATTTTTAAAGCAATTAGTTACAATTTGTACAAATTGAGATAGATTCTATTTTGATGTCTATTTCATGCGTCAGAATTAATAGTTTTTTTAATTAATTTTATACAAAAATTTTCCTAAATAGTCTACAACAGAATAATTTATTCAAGAAAACGGTTTTATACAGGAAGAAAATGAAATACTAATTACTCTAAAACTAAATGATTTACTAAAAATTACTCCATCTTTGTTTAATTTTTCAGTCCAAGGATTTCAGGATTTCTTTGTAGAATTTCTCTTGAGCTCTTTTGCTCTAGGATCTACTCTATGCTTAGCCCTTGTTTGAAGTTGATTTTGAAGTTTCTAATATAATTTACTTACATACGGGAAGAAAATGAAACACCAATTCTTAAACTAGATAATTTATTAAAAATTACACCATCACTATATTGTCTATTCTACTAGAAAGATCATCCTCGTACAAACTAGACTCACTACTCGTACTCCTAGCCTCGTCGTCCTTGTCGTTTTGAGCCACATCACTGGAATGAAAAATGGTGTCCATCAGCAAGTCTTTGCCGCACTCTGATATGCTCCTTATCTTGTACACTTTCAACGAACTAAAATTTGTTTCAGTCTCACCAACCGGTATCAAGATACCTCTTCTTATCCTAACAAGCACTTGTTTGTATAAGGACCCACCACTTTCAAATCGATAGTTTGCAGTTTTTCCAAGCTTTTAACAGCTGGCAATACAGTCCCTCCTATTTTTAAATCCAACTCTGTTCTTTTATCAGCTTCATTTGGGTCTCTGATGGAATCTGAGTCGTTGGTGGATGCATCTTCAAGTGATTCGTCGAATCTTTCATCTTCGTAGCTGGTGTTGTCAGTGTTGAACTCATCAGTTGCCAGGGAGTTATCTGTTAGAGTCTCCAAGTTGTCTTCTTTGGTTTCCAGTAAGATTTCCTGGTCGCTGAAAGTAACGCTGTGTCTTTGGGAGTTTTTTTTCTTTTAAAGGGGGTCGATTGGTGTGTATATCATGATGTGTTTCTTGTGATAATGGAAAATGTTAGCGCAGTCGTAGTATTTCAGAATCTCTTTGTAGATTTGTCGTGACCTTTGAAGATATTTTCTTCTTCCAGAATCTCCTCAAGTTTCCAATATAATTTAGAATCATTTATACAAGAAATTGGTACATACATACATACATGAAAAAAATAAAAACCAGTTCTTATACTAGATAATTTATTAACAATTACACCATCACTATATGGTCTATTTTACTAGAAAGATCATCCTCGTACAAACTGGACTCACTACTCGTACTCCTAGCCTCGTCGTCTTTTCGTTTTGAGCCACATCACTGGAATGAAAAATGCTGTACATCAGCAAGTCTTTGCCGCACTCTGACATGCTCCTTTTCTTGTATACTTTCAATGAACTAAAGTCCGTTTCAGTCTCACCAACCGGTATCAAAGATACCTCTTCTTGTCCTAACAAGCACTTGTTTACATAAGGTCCCACCACTTTCAAATCGATAGTTTGCACTTTTTCCAAGCTTTTAACAGTTGGCAATACAGTCCCTCCTATTTTAAAATCCAACTCTGTTCTTTTATCAGCTTCATTTGAGTCTCTGATGGAGTCTGAGTCATTGGTGGTTGCATCTTCAAGTGATTCGTCGAATCTTTCATCTTCGTAGCTGGTGTTGTCAGTGTTGAACTCATCAGTTGCCAGGGAGTTATCTGTTAGAGTCTCCAAGTTGTCTTCTTTGGTTTCCAGTAAGATTTCCTGGTCGCTGAAAGTAACGCTGTGTCTTTGGGAGTTTTTTTTCTTTTAAAGGGGGTCGATTGGTGTGTATATCATGATGTGTTTCTTGTGATAATGGAAAATGTTAGCGCAGTCGTAGTATTTCAGAATCTCTTTGTAGATTTGTCGTGACCTTTTGAAGATATTTTCTTCTTCCAGAATCTCCTCAAGTTTCCCATATAATTTATAGAATCATTTATACAAGAAAATGGTACATACATACATACAGGAAGAAAATAAAAAACCAGTTCTTATACTAGATAATTTATTAACAATTACACCATCACTATATTGTCTATTCTACTAGAAAGATCATCCTCGTACAAACTAGACTCACTACTCGTACTCCTAGCCTCGTCGTCTTTTTCGTTTTGAGCCACATCACTGGAATGAAAAATGCTGTACATCAGCAAGTCTTTGCCGCACTCTGACATAAACAAGCACTTGTTTACATAAGGTCCCACCACTTTCAAATCGATAGTTTGCAGTTTTTCCAAGCTTTTAACAGTTGGCAATACAGTCCCTCCTATTTTAAAATCCAACTCTGTTCTTTTATCAGCTTCATTTGGGTCTCTGATGGAATCTGAGTCGTTGGTGGATGCATCTTCAAGTGATTCGTCGAACCTTTCATCTTCGTAGCTGGTGTTGTCAGTGTTGGACTCATCTGTTGCCAGTGAGTTGTCTGTTAAGGTCTCCAAGTCGGCTTCTTTGGTTTCCAGTAAGATTTCCTGGTCGCTGAAAGTAACGCTGTGTCTTTGGGAGTTTTTTTTCTTTTAAAGGGGGTCGATTGGTGTGTATATCATGATGTGTTTCTTGTGATAATGGAAAATGTTAGCGCAGTCGTAGTATTTCAGAATCTCTTTGTAGATTTGTCGTGACCTTTTGAAGATATTTTCTTCTTCCAGAATCTCCTCAAGTTTCCAATATAATTTAGAATCATTTATACAAGAAATTGGTACATACATACATACATGAAAAAAATAAAAACCAGTTCTTATACTAGATAATTTATTAACAATTACACCATCACTATATGGTCTATTTTACTAGAAAGATCATCCTCGTACAAACTGGACTCACTACTCGTACTCCTAGCCTCGTCGTCTTTTTCGTTTTGAGCCACATCACTGGAATGAAAAATGCTGTACATCAGCAAGTCTTTGCCGCACTCTGACATGCTCCTTTTCTTGTATACTTTCAATGAACTAAAGTCCGTTTCAGTCTCACCAACCGGTATCAAAGATACCTCTTCTTGTCCTAACAAGCACTTGTTTACATAAGGTCCCACCACTTTCAAATCGATAGTTTGCAGTTTTTCCAAGCTTTTAACAGTTGGCAATACAGTCCCTCCTATTTTAAAATCCAACTCTGTTCTTTTATCAGCTTCATTTGGGTCTCTGATGGAATCTGAGTCGTTGGTGGATGCATCTTCAAGTGATTCGTCGAACCTTTCATCTTCGTAGCTGGTGTTGTCAGTGTTGGACTCATCTGTTGCCAGTGAGTTGTCTGTTAAGGTCTCCAAGTCGTCTTCTTTGGTTTTCAGTAAGATTTCCTGGTCGCTGAAAGTAACGCTGTGTCTTTGGGAGTTTTTTTTCTTTTAAAGGGGGTCGATTGGTGTGTATATCATGATGTGTTTCTTGTGATAATGGAAAATGTTAGCGCAGTCGTAGTATTTCAGAATCTCTTTGTAGATTTGTCGTGACCTTTTGAAGATATTTTCTTCTTCCAGAATCTCCTCAAGTTTCCAATATAATTTAGAATCATTTATACAAGAAATTGGTACATACATACATACATGAAAAAAATAAAAACCAGTTCTTATACTAGATAATTTATTAACAATTACACCATCACTATATGGTCTATTTTACTAGAAAGATCATCCTCGTACAAACTGGACTCACTACTCGTACTCCTAGCCTCGTCGTCTTTTTCGTTTTGAGCCACATCACTGGAATGAAAATGCTGTACATCAGCAAGTCTTTGCCGCACTCTGACATGCTCCTTTTCTTGTATACTTTCAATGAACTAAAGTCCGTTTCAGTTCTCACCAACCGGTATCAAAGATACCTCTTCTTGTCCTAACAAGCACTTGTTTACGTAAGGTCCCACCACTTTCAAATCGATAGTTTGCAGTTTTTCCAAGCTTTTAACAGTTGGCAATACAGTCCCTCCTATTTTAAAATCCAACTCTGTTCTTTTATCAGCTTCATTTGAGTCTCTGATGGAGTCTGAGTCATTGGTGGTTGCATCTTCAAGTGATTCGTCGAATCTTTCATCTTCGTAGCTGGTGTTGTCAGTGTTGAACTCATCAGTTGCCAGGGAGTTATCTGTTAGAGTCTCCAAGTTGTCTTTGGTTTCCAGTAAGATTTCCTGGTCGCTGAAAGTAACGCTGTGTCTTTGGGAGTTTTTTTCTTTTAAAGGGGGTCGATTGGTGTGTATATCATGATGTGTTTCTTGTGATAATGGAAAATGTTAGCGCAGTCGTAGTATTTCAGAATCTCTTTGTAGATTTGTCGTGACCTTTTGAAGATATTTTCTTCTTCCAGAATCTCCTCAAGTTTCCCATATAATTTATAGAATCATTTATACAAGAAAATGGTACATACATACATACAGGAAGAAAATAAAAAACCAGTTCTTATACTAGATAATTTATTAACAATTACACCATCACTATATTGTCTATTCTACTAGAAAGATCATCCTCGTACAAACTAGACTCACTACTCGTACTCCTAGCCTCGTCGTCCTTGTCGTTTTGAGCCACATCACTGGAATGAAAAATGCTGTACATCAGCAAGTCTTTGCCGCACTCTGACATAAACAAGCACTTGTTTACGTAAGGTCCCACCACTTTCAAATCGATAGTTTGCAGTTTTTCCAAGCTTTTAACAGCTGGCAATACAGTCCCTCCTATTTTAAAATCCAACTCTGTTCTTTTATCAGCTTCATTTGGGTCTCTGATGGAATCTGAGTCGTTGGTGGATGCATCTTCAAGTGATTCGTCGAATCTTTCATCTTCGTAGCTGGTGTTGTCAGTGTTGGACTCATCTGTTGCCAGTGAGTTGTCTGTTAAGGTCTCCAAGTCGGCTTCTTTGGTTTCCAGTAAGATCTCCTTGATTTCCTGATCGCTGAAACTAACGCTGTGTCTTTGGGAGTTCTTTTCTTTTAAAGGGGATCGATTAGTGTTGTTTTTAGTGATGTGTTTATTGTGATAATCGAAAATGTTAGCACAGTCATAGTATTTCAGGATCTCTTTGTAGATTTGTCGTGAGCTTTTGAAGATATCTTCTTCTTCCAGGATCTCCTCGATGCTTGAGAGTTTTGGGGCTGATTTGGATCTTTCCAGTGGTGGTCTGAAATACAACAAAATATAGATACAAATATTTTTTGAAATTAATTTTTGGAAAGAGTCTTGAAGCAATTAGGTAAATGACTCATTCAATGAGAAAACATTTACCTGTAATTCTGAGATCCGGTGTTCAACAGTATCTTCCTCCTGGGCATGCTCGGGTTTTCGTACACCGAATTCACCAGACTCAGTCTCGCGTTCTGTTTGCACAACTTCTCCTTCTTGAACTCGGCCAAGGCCAAGGCCAGCGACTCCTTCAACTCCTTGTCAATCTTGGCCGCCAGCTCGGAGGAGGAACATAACACAGCGTGGCACCTCAGTTCGTGTCTCAAACGACGACCTTCGTGCCGGTAGATCCAGCAGAAAATCCTCGGGAACTCGGGGGGAGCCGCGCACGTTGTGAGCCTGTGCGCCCAGTACTCGGTGAGTCCGTGAGTTTTGGTCACCACCTTGAGGCTTCCGCCGGATATGGTGAGCTGCATCGAGACGTCGGGCCTGGAGGATTGAGTGTAGTTGCGCCATAGAGTGGTTAGTGGTTTTTCTACGCACCCGTCACCTAGAAGTAAGGAAGAATATAATTTTAAAGCGATCAACTCAGTAACCATCAATTCAAATAATATTGGAGTGCCCAGAGACTTTTACCTCGGAATTCAATTACTGTCAATGTATTAATGTGTAACCTTCTCTATTGTGTTTTATAGATAAAATACTAAAATATTTACCCCTTTTTTTTCGTTGCTTTTAATTTTTTATTTTAGTAATTTTAGTAAATTCTTAATTATTTCCTTCTTAATATTTTGATTCTTTTAATTCTTTTTCTAAGTAAATTTATTGAAATAAATAAATCTAATGCATATTATGCACCTATTCTGCTTATATTCTAATCATTGAAATTTTGATTGAAATCGAATTATACAGGATGGCGCGTCATATGCGACGCGGTTTTTGCAAGGAGAACAAAAGTTTGTATTGAAGTGAAATTTTCTGAGCTTATGTAAGTCAATTTAAAGTATTTTCTAAAATTAGTTCTACACGGTGTCCCCAAAAAAAGTTACAAATCAAAGTTATGTTTTTGTAATGGAACACCCTATTTATTAATTGATTTTTGGATTCTAGTAAAAAATAAAGGTTTGTTTCATTAGAAAATTATATGACTAAAATGTATAGTTTTTGAAATACATTCAACGGCACGAAAAATGGGCATCTTAAAACTTTGATGTATTTTAAAGGTTAATATATTTTATTTTAATGGGCCGATTTTGATGATTTTTTAAGCAGTGTGTTGCCAAATTATTTGACTTCTCTAACTGGCGAACAAGTCAATACGTCTTGCTTAAAAATAAATTGCATCTATTTAAATATGCCGCCACATTTGTTACTTTCCTGGGTGGCTAGATGGCGCCACTTCAATATACAGATTACAGATTTCTTTACAAATTTGAAACCGTTTTGAAACTAAAAAATGCATGGGAGTTAGCGTTCTTCTTTAGTGTGTTCTGTGGTGTATAGTCACTCTTCGTGCCTACCTTCCCTCGCCATATTGGTGGTAAAGGCTCAAACCGATAGAGCTATCGGCGTTTGTTGGCATTTTGCCAATTTGTTTGGGAAAACCCTCTGAGCAGAGGCAAGACTTTTATTTTAAACGTAACATTTCCTAATACCTTTTTTTTGTACAGGGTTTTATTTTACGGTACGCATTTTGTTTTATGGTAGCATTTTCTGGTGCCATTTTGTTTTTTGTACCTGACATTTGGGCCACGTTTTGTCCCTACATTTCATACCGGGAATAACGGAGGAATCTCCTGAATCCACAGAAGTTTTCGATCCTGCCTTTGCAGAGACGTTTTTATCACAATCCAGTTCCAGTAGCAGTTCACCACAACCAGCTTGTAACCAGAACGTATAAAAAAGGGCCAGATCATTTCATTTTATATATATTTAATTTAAGTTCATTTGAATGCATTAAGCCCTTCAGGCATATTATATATTTGATTGCTTTAGAGTCACTTTGAAATATTTTATTCATGTTATGCATATTTCTGATATCTACATAGTACGGTTTTTTTAATATAAAGAGTCCCTATATTTTGGTACCAAGATCGCCAGACTTTTTGCGGAATAATTAATAAAATATTAATATTCAGAAGCGTGCAGATTTAACTAACTTTTGAGTGATCTATTTTGATACATACAATTTACCAACAAGTATTTTCAAATTTCTTATTTTATTCTACTTAACATTTAATTATTAATTAGACTTAGTTATTAGTTTATCTCAGCGTTTCATTTATGTAATTCCTAAAATAAGTAATACCTATATTCTGAGTTGATTTCTCAGTTCTCAATTTAGAAGTTTTCGAAAGTAAATGGAAAACTGAGTGGCGCCCAGTATATTATAAAGACGTAAGTATCACAATTTAATTTTCACTAGCTTACGACCCATTGCTCACCGGCGAACAGCTCCGTCGCATAGTATTAGTTGTTTTAATATTTTTTCCAAAAGATAATTCTTATAAAAAAACATTACATCATTTTTTATAACTTCTAATGCTACAAATCTTCGGATTTTCACGGGGTTTTTAAGAAGACGTTTTAAGAGACTCTCTTCTATGAACACCATAGTAGATTGAAGCTAAGAAGCAACTGCGAATGCAGATTCAGTGGGGAAATGGGGAAACACCAGAACACCTTTTCACTGAGTGCACCAAGACGACAACCATTCATGCCATAAAGTTTGGTACAACTGACATCGGAGATGGAGACATGTAAATTAATAAATCTGGTAGGAAAGTAGGAAAAACCAAAATGACTTAGATGCATTTAATAGATTATTCAAACTACATAATTTGTTTTGTAATACGTTTTACAAAGAAAAGGAAATATTTAAATTTGACCACAAAGTAAAATTATTAAAACCGAACCACAATATTTTTGAAATGTAATGAATAATGTAAACAGAATTACGGCAATTTTTCTAGGAAATAAGTATATAATAAAAAACACTAGCAGTTTTAAAATTTATTGCATTTTCATGTCTCCGTTCATCGGATGTACGATTTGTGATTAGTGTCATTTTATATTTTCATTTCCATAACGATTTCGCTGTTTCACTTATAGTCTAAAGCTGTACGTACACTGGTGCGATCACGATTCAACTTGTCGAGTTTGATCGCGCGATCGCGACCCAACTGATAGGAATTTTCCGTTATTTTGTGTGTTTTTTCTTGTTGCAATTTAGAAATGGAGTTAACAGAGCAGCTAATTAAGGCTGTAAAAATACACAAAATCCTATATGATTTATCCGATCCAAGTTACAAGAATAATAGAATTAAAAATAAAGCGTTTTAGACAAAGTTGGAGTTGCAATTGGATCGGATAGTACATATTATGTATACATTTTTATTGTTTAAGTTTAAATATTGTAGATAAATATTTCAGAATTTTTTTTTTCGGTATACATAATTCACATTTTTAATTTGTACCTATGTATACCTAAAGGATAGCTCACTACATATAGGTACGGCGGTGAACGTGAACGCGTTGGTGTGTGCTAGAATGATCGCTCATGTTATCGCTGCCCTGATCGTGATCGTGATCGCGGCCGTGATCGCACTAGAGATGGGCGGTTATTGGTAAAAAACCGGTTATAGGTTAACCGGAATTATCTTTAAAAAATAATAACTTGACAAAATTAACCGACACAAATTAACCGGTTATTCAAATAACCTAACCTAGCAAAACTAAATATTTAGTTTTCCTATAGGTTTACTTACCTCTACACTCCATAGGTCTACTTCAAATTAGATAATAAACTTAGTTATAGTTAAATAGAGAGTGTAGCAATGTAAATATGTATATGTACAAAATGAATTTAAATAAAAATGCTAACCTCACTTTTTTGAGTAGACATGTATATGATATTAAAACTAGTAATTACTTAACGTTCAAATAAACCACACAACTCACAAGTTCTACAATCTACAACCAAGTTATTTTAATCAAATACCAAAGAAAAATAAGGAGACTGAATGAATAGATAATGAAAGATTATCTTCATTCATTACTTGAACTTCAATTTTGTATTCTTTAGTCTAAGGTTCAAGAGAGACTTCAAACTACAAATAAAATATATTTACGGTGAAACGTGGGCGAAACTGGGCGAAACCATGGAAAAGTTTTGAAGAACCGTTGAAAATCCGTTAAAGTCGGTTAAAATTTAAATATAGAATTTAGAGAATCTATTTGAAGTTAGGTTCGTATCACTTGGCTAGATGGTGGCTAGTAGTAGTCTATGCCATTAGTACTTTGTTTCACGGCCTGACCTGTCAGGGCCATTCGGCCGTTGTTTTGATTATTATCATCAGGGTTCGCCTGATGCCTGATTTAATTTTGACATTTGATGTTTGATGCCATATATTTTCGTTTTGGGAGCGGTATCTCCCGTTATCGTCGTAATCTGGAAGATCCGTGCCGTTCGCTTCTTCGAAATTTACGATTCAAACAGCTAATATTTAATTGTTACTTGTTTTAAACAAGTACGATTTTTTAAAAAATAACCGGCTATAGGTTATTGAACGTAATGCAAGGTTATTAGGTTAACTGGTGAAAAAAAACTACCTTTAAATAACCGGTTATTTTAGAGAAAATACCGGTTATTCAAAAAACCGGTTACTTTTGCCCATCTCTATTGTCGAGTTTGATCGCGTGATCGCGACCCAACTGATAGGAATTTTCGGTTATTTTGTGTGTTTTTTCTTGTTGCAATTTAGAAATGGAGTTAACAGAGCAGCTAATTAAGATTTTTATTGTTTAAGTTTAAATATTGTAGGTAAATATTTCAGAATTTTTTTTTTCGGTATACATAATTCACATTTTTAATTTGTACCTATGTATAACTAAAGGATAGCTCACTACATATAGGTACGGCGGTGAACGTGAACGCGTTGGTGTGTGCTAGAATGATCGCTCATATTATCGCTGCCCGGATCGTGATCGTGATCGCGGCCGTGATCGCACCAGTGTGCGTGTAGCTTTAGAGCTAGCAACGTTTTCGAGAGAGACGAGTGATTGACTTCCCAAGTAGCATTTTCACGACTTGCGACCACATGTTTACTAAACACAACGTTGGATTAGTTACAAAAAATAGTTAGCTCCCTACCTTGGGTATTAAAATAAATTTAAACGTTTTTATAACGTTGTGCCGACGTTGGACTAGTACTACAGCAAAGTAGAAGCTTCTGCGACGTCGAATAAACATTGTCTTGTAACCTTTTTTGCTTAAGTGATCTTTTAGGTGATTCGGACAACGTAGTTACAACGTTGGACAATATAGAGTTTTCCGACGTCAGTTTCAGGACCTATTCCAACGTTATGCAAACGTCGTCTGTTTTACTAATTCCAACGTTGTTTAGATTTCCTTATTCTTACGTTGGTAGGACGTCGAGTCACTACCTTTTTGCAACTGTATTGAACCATAACCTTAAATTTTAAATTTTCACTTCATTGTTCTGTTCGGTCAGACAGTTCAGTGCTGTTTTTGGTTTTATAAAAAAAAACTTAATTAAAATGGGACATAAGAAAGGTACATATAAAACTAAATTTAAATATACATCGACATATATTACCGATAGTTTATCCACACCCTCGTTTATTTATATTATAGAGGGCGGCACAAGCTAGACTCTAGGATGACTAAATTAGGCAATCTTGCGACTGGTATACTACCTGTTAAGGCCGAACTACGACTTTATTAGTCCAGTATGCGACTACTCGAACTACTCCATCTTAATCTCCAAAACAACAAAGTGAAAGCCGCCATGTTGTTAAATAAGAAAATGTTTCGTTCCTAAAATAGCAATTCCTGCTTTTTGAATACATTAACTTGAAATATTTGACCCTAAAAAACACGCGGAAACAATTTTTTCGACTGCGAATAAATTATTCTCATTTTACTAAAAAAAAATTCATAAAAATTTTTAAAACTTCTTTAATTTTAAGGCCCATTAGTATTTTTCAAAGTAGAAACAATACATTTATCAATAAAGTTGTTTGCGTTTAACTTTTTTGCCTTGGGTAACGAGTTACAGAGTCGGTTAAAGTGTTTCAATAATTATGATCTTCAAACATTCTCCACACTTAAATACTTTTGTTTTGTTTTCCTTCACTGCCATCTGACATATGTCTCTAACTAAATCATAAAAATAATATTTTTACTATAATTATCCCAATTTAGGATAAAACGCGACTTAGACGCCATATTAGTTTTGTATTTCTGTGAATTAGGATTTTAAACAACGTTGCAGTTTGTACTAAATTAGGCTGCTAGCCAACGTCGGTATCCAACGTCGTTTCGACCCAAAAGTTATTCTCCAAACTAGTGCAGACTAGGGTTGGCACGAGGTTGTGCGGACGTTGCGCCCCGACGTTTGGTCGCGTGACACAACGTTGTCCCGACGTCCAAATGCTGCTTGGGTTATCAATCAATTAATTTGACAGGTTTAAACGCGCCTTTAGTTATTTTCTAAATGTCTCAAAAAATCAACTAGAACCTTACCTTTGGCCCATCCCGTAACCACATTTCCCAAATACGACACCCTATACGTGGAATCCGGCCTGGATATTGTAATGCTCCCGTACCTCTTCAGCCTGATCCTGTTAAATATGTACCTAAGCGTGTTCTTCCTCTTCCCTTTTTGCAGTACTTTGTAGGGCATGTCGTTGCCGAATCCGGGAAAAGGGATTTTCTTAAATAGTTTATTTTCCTGCGAGGGCAGGCCCCTATCCACAGTGTCATGCGTCAGAATATTCGTTCCCATCATGGTTTCCTATGTATATTTCATTACAGTTCCGCTACAAATTATATCGAGCTTCCTTTTTCTGCAGATGGTTGTAAAGCATTCAGTCTTCATTCTCTAAATATGTTTTCTCTACAGTCAATTCATTTGAGCTGAAACAAAAATGATATTAGAATAGTATTAAAAAGAAATTATGTAATAATAATATACAGGATGGTCCGAACTGTATTCCGGAAACTTTGGCAGCATATTCTGCAGATAAAAATAATTAAAAAAGTTCGTATAAATGTACAGGATGGGTCAAATTCGACGCTTTTAAATGCAAACACCCTTTTCTATAGGAGATAGACGAAAACTAATATCGGTGTCTGGAGCTCAATTTTCATCAAAAACATGATGGTGAAAACCGCACATCAATATCTGTTACCGTTTCGGAGTTACGGGGTGTTTTTCAAAAATGTGCATTTTTAACAAACCGCTGTAACTTTTTTGCTATGGAAAATTTTGTATTTCTATGAAAACATTTCCAAAGCACCTTTTTACGTAGAATTTAATGGTTTAAGCATATATTTTTTTAATTAATAATTTAAAAGTTATCAACAGAAAAATTGATTTTTTATTTGGGACACCCTGTATTTTTAATTAACTGTATTTTTAATTAACAGAAAAGAATTTAAAATTACCTTTCCAAAAATATAGCACACTTAATATTTTGTTATAATCCCCTTCGAAATACAGAATTTTTAAATTTCGCTACTTTTAACTAGTAGGCTTTGGACTAGTAGGCTACTTTTAACTAGTTCCCTTAATGGAACTCGAAAACATATTTTTCCAGCTAGACGACGCACCGCCTCTGAACGCTGAAGTTATCAGCAAATTTTTGCAGCCAATTTCAAGAATAATTGAATAGCTAACAAAGATCCCAGCCGTTGGCCGTCGAGGCCGCCTGACTTAGTGCCCATGGATCTAATCCTATGGATATATTTGTGGAAGAATAAAGGTTCCTTATTCTTCCGTATAATCTAGACAAGAATTAGAAATACTTAGCAGTTATGAGAGGGTATCTTTCACCCTCACTGAGTTAATGAATTCCTCGAGAAATGTTCAAAAACTGCCCCGTCTGTCCATAACAGAAGACGGTCGATATGTCGAACACCTGTAGCAAAATCTCATGTCTTGATTTGCTATTCATTTTTATTGTTATTAGATATAGTTTAAATGTGTTGATGTTGGTTAAATATATTTTTAATGGTTATAAAATTCTGCATTTCTCATAGCAAATATTATTTTCGTTTTAATTGATGCTCACAGCTAGAATTTTTTTTGCATTACAGCCGGTGACGTTCAAAGCCTACTTTTCAAAGAGGGCGAATTTTTATACACTCTATATCTCGAAGAGGAATCGAGCAAAATATCAAGTGTGTTATATTTTTGGAAAGGTAATTTTAAATTTTTTTCAATAAATTAAAAATATACAGAGTGTCCCATATAAAAAATCAAATTTTCTGTTGAAAATTTCACACCTCTACTTTTCAACCAATAACATGCTTTAATGTTGACTAGTTACCATGGCAACTGAAAAAATTTCCGGAAATTTTTTCGAGGCGCCACGAAACTTTAGTGGAAATTTTTTGACAGTTGAAAAGGTAAACATAAGATCTACAATCATAATGTGAATGAACTACAATGTCTATATATTGAAATATTACCCATTTGAGTTTTAGCATTTGATGTAACTAATTAAAAATATAATAACATTTGTTAATATTATTAACAAATTGAAATTATTTTAAAATGTCATGTTGGATTAATATTTTTTTTTTCAAATTTAGGTGTGAAATTTTCTTACCGAATACCACGCAAGCTTAAATTATTCCTGGAAATTTTCTTTCGGGCACGAATATTTTAGGAAAATTATCCCTCGTCTTCGACTCGGGATAATTTTCAAAATATTCGTGCCCTCAAAAAAATTTCCGAAAATAATTTAAGCTCTTGTGATATTATAAGTGATAATTCTTAAATTATTAATTTTAAAAAAATTATACATAAACCATTAAATTTTACGTAAAAAGTTGCTTTGGAAACGTTTTCATAAAAATAAAAAATTTTGCATAGCAAAAAAGTTACAGCGATTTGTTGAAAATGCATATTTTTGAAAAACACCCCGTAACTCCGAAACGGTAACAGATATCGATATGCGGTTTTCACCATCATGTTTTTAACAAAAATTGAGCTCCAGACACCGATATTAGTTTTTGTCTATCTCCTATAGAAAAGGGTGTTTCTATTTAAAAGCGTCGAATTTGAGCCACTCTGTACATATGTTCTAAAATGCTTAGTTTCGGAGATACATAGTGTAGAAGTTTCATTTTCATTCCGCTTTTTTCAAAATAATTTCTGGAGTGTCGTCAATATTTGGATTAATATTGATGTCTGGGAGTTTTTTGACATGAGAAATTTAATTTTGATGTCAATAAGTAACTGTTTTAAAGAGTTATAACTTTTCGTCCGTAGCTGTATAAAATGTTGAGTAGATAGTTATTTGACTGAAATGATTAATTTGGGATTCTTTTATTTTATTAAATTAATCATAAATTTTTCTTCAAACAAATGATGAAAAACAGTTTCTATTGAACCTTTGGCACAAAAACATTTGAAATTTATGATTTCGGTCTAATAACTATTTTGTCAACATGTTTAATATTTATGTCAATGAAGGTATTGATAATTTCGATTCCAAATATCTCGAGAACCATTACTCGTAGCGATTTTTACCAAGAGACATTTTTTACGTAAAAAACGTCGCAAATGTATATTTTTTTACTCAGCAGTTTTATGCAGGTACGGACAAAAAGTTATTACTCTTCATAACAGTTAAAACATATGTAGATAGCACCTTCTACAAGTAGGAGTCATATTGACATCAAAATCAAATTTATCATGTCAAAAAACTCACAGACGACAATTTTCATCCAAATATTGACGTTACTTCAAAAATTATTTGAAAAAAATCGAAATAAAAATGAAACTTCTACACCCTGTATCTCCGAAACTAAGCATTTTAGGACAAACATTTATACGAACTTTTTTACTTATTTTTATCTGCAGAATATGCTGCCGAAGTTTCCGGAATACAGTTCGGAGCACCCTGTATAATGTCATTTATATCTAATATTATTATATAATGTCATTTATATCACATAGATAAGAACAGGTAAAACGATAAGTGTAATACGATGCCTTAATAGGGACAACCCAAAAAAACCTGCATTGTTGTTTGCGTTGAAGATGAAACATTTAATTTGACCAATCATCAATTATGTCGATCGTATTGAAAACAAAATAAACCATTTCCTAATTAAATTGACAATTAATTTATCATAATGACGAAAAAACAGTCGTCGATCGTTAGAGAACACATTAAAATGCAGTAAATGGCGTTTTTTGCATATTGCCACAGTCTTACGTTGGTCGATACTCCAACGCAACTAATTTAATAAATTATAACAGTAGGGATGGCTATTTTATGAAAAAAACATCGATACTTATGTATATATTCTATCGATATTTAAAAAAATGCACTTTAACAACCGATTTGGTAAAGGAGCAGATGATTGAGCCCATTTAAGTATTATTTAGTGTTATCACTGTAGAGATGTTCACCAGTAGGGAAGGATTGCTTTTATTTTCAAAAAATATCCATTGTAAAAAATATCGATATTTGTTTTATATCGATAGTATGCACATCTCTACATCAGCCTCCATTTTCCATAGGATTTTCATTAATGTAACGAATAACGTTCTTAGGCTAGTTTGAGATGGAAAAACAACATAATAATTATTATAAAATATCACTTATATTGAGAATAAAAGGAAAAAAATTCGTGTTTTATTATAGTAGGTAGTTTATTACATTTCTTTCGATATTGCCGTCGATATTTCGCAGTAAATTTTATAGAAAGTCTACGATTTGTTGTGCAATTGAAGCACGTTAAGGTTCTGAAGGTTGCAAAAGATGGATCTATATTAAATCCTTTTCTTTAAATGTCATAAACAGAGAAATTTCTAATGATTTAAACTTTTCTATGTAACGTTTATTTTATTTTTTTAAAGAAATATTTTTCAAGTACACTAAATTTCTGAAAATAACTTCTTTAGTCTTAGGTTTGATTCGTTTGAATAAAGAAAAATACTATTATACATGGTGTTCAATTTAATAATGTACACTACATCAGGCTAATATATAATGCTACAGGTATTTCATATACCAAAAAAGATAGAAAGACTATTAAATAAGAGAAAAGTTGGAGTTCTTCATTCGTAACGGAATGATTAATAAAGGTAAAAATATACAGGGTGAGTCTTAAATAAGTGCCCATATTTTCAGGGCTGGTAGATCTCGATAAAAGAAATATATATTTTCTCGCTACCGTTTTTCAAAATAGTCCAAAATAACCGAGTTATTCAAGTTTGCAAATTAAAAAAAAAGATTTATTTTTAAAAATTATACCGGTTGCGTCTCAAAAGTGGCTCACCCCTATAACTTTTTGGAGATTTGGTGTATTAATATATGACATAAATTAGGATTGATTGACGTATTCAATTGTTTTCAGTCACTTCCTGTTTCACCGGAAATGACTACAAATTTTGATTTGTAAATGGCACCCTCGGTGTTTGGTTGCTTTATTCGATAGAAAATGACACTCTGAATAGAATGACATATCATACGTCAACTTTTGATATTTTCGAATATGGTTTATTTAAAATTGCAATTCATAACGACAATTTGACTCGAAATACCAAGTATGTGGTACCAAATTATTCGTAAAAAAATGCTTTTTTCCAAATATGCTAATGACCTACTCTCGTTCTATTTGAAAAAATTGGGATATGATTAAAAATACGATTTGGGCATCTTTTAACCGGTCAGGACAAGACAGGATCAAATCTATTTTTCCAAGGCTCCTTGATTAAAAATTAGTGTTTTTAACACAGCCACGGCACCCTAGATTGAAATTTAAAATTCAATTTTGTTTTAAGCTAAAATGTCAGAAGTTGACATATGATATGTCATTCTATTCAGAATGTCATTTTCTATTGAGTAAAGTAAAATAATACCGAGGAGTTGTAGTTATTTCCGGTGAAACAGGAA